CTTTGTGGGAGTCCGGACCTTTCACAGTAACATCCTTCTTGCCACTGAACACTTCTTCTTTTCCAGTTTTTTCTTCTCATTTTGGGGCTTGTTATTGCTTGTATCTCCCTCCTTCTCTCATTCTTCCCTCCCTCAAAGTAAACTTGATCTACACATTATCCACAAAAATTGAGATAATCCGAAACAGATGAGAGAAGTACAACAAGCATTCTCTCTGGGGTATGTTTGCAAATGACATGGAGATCAACCAATCCTACTAGCAGACCCCCTCTTCTTTAAGAGATAAGAGCAACTCCACCGCGGCCCCTATTTTTGGGCCGCTAAATTTTGATCGTTGGGACTGCGAAGCCAACTTTACAGCCTCAAAGTGCTGCGGCATACACCGCGAGAGTCTTTAACAATGTGTGAAAGGATGAGTGGTGTGTGAAGTTGGAACCGATTTGTATTGAGGTAGTAGAGTTTCACAAGTTAGTTGTTATGTGAAAGGGGATTGGGAGGTCGATAGAGGAGTCGCTAGGAGTCCCTACATGTAGGGACTCGGGCACAAAATTTAGGGGCGGCCGTAGATTTGAGACTCAAACAGCGGCCGCGGTGGCTCATGTTGGGTCGGTAAATTCCAACTAGGGACCCGATTTAGCGCCCGCGGTGGAGTTGCTCTAAGAAGGAAAAAATATAGAGAGAAAAGCAAACTGTTGTGTGTATGTGGACATAAGGCCTTACTAAGATCACCGGTGGATGAGTAACAAGAGCAAAAAGAAACAAAGCCAATGCTATATGCTATAGAGAGAAAAACCAACTGTTGTGTGTATATGGGCATAAGGCCTCACTAAGATCACTGGTAGATGAGCAACAAGAACAAAAAGAAACAAAGCATACAAAGTCGCTCCAATGGATGGTCTAGAAATCCGACACGGAGCAGGGGCAGCTGCCCCACCAGCACCATTACTACACCACAACTTCCATGATGTGACTTCTGTTAAGTTAGGTCAATCACTATTGGTGCAGATGTAGCAGCTACTGGTCGGAGTCCTGCTAGAATCCGAAGGTTAGCAGCCTCTTGAGGACCAACCAAGCTTTCGAGGTGGTCCGGTTGAATTTTATTACAGATCTCAAAGTAGAGTTCTTTTTGTCGTTTCTTCCATCCGTTGACCTCGTCCTGCAAGCTAGAACGTTTGGTGACGACGAGGGTCTCAGAGTATCCAGTCCGGTCGGTCACGTGAGTGCAGTCAATATTGGCTCCCTCGATTTGCTGGTGTAGGTGAAAACGCTCAGATCTGGTGGCTTTGAACCGACAAACGCGCTGAGAAGGATTTCGGAGGAATCTGTTGAGCTCCATACAGTCTAAACATGTGCAACGCACTTGAGGGCTTTGTCGGCTGATAATGTCTGGATTAGGGCACGCGCCAAGGGTCGTGTCACTGTAGCGCTTTATAAATTGACGTGCAAGCTGTTGGTGGCAGGGCTGGTTGAGTTGAATTGATCGAGAGACCAGAGCTGGAATAAGTCGATATAGGAACGGCATCCAGAGCTTCTGCATGTCTTGAGCTGTGAATTTGGGACAGTGTTCATTGATTTGTTGGACAAATGGCTCTAGTAAATCTGCAGTATCGGTGCTCAGGCTGTTGAGATCGCAGGCATATTTGGCGAGAGCTCGAGGAGTGACCACTCGTCCAATTTCAGATGCTGACTTGCCCTTTGCGCGGGTAATGACACTGGAGGGTGTCCTCTGGCGGTTAAAAACACGTGAGCTCAGATTTTTACGCAACTCTACGTTTTCCAAAGTCGGGAAATGTGCCACGCCTTCAGCAAGAGTCTTAAGCTGAGAAAGGAACCCAAGCAAGAATGCAACTGCTTCGGGTTGAGGAAACCGGTCAAAAATCGATGTGAGACTAAGCGGAAGCCAAAACAATCATCAGTTTAACAGATTTGGTGAGATCAAAAAAACTCAAGGCTTACAGAGCGGACGTGTTGGTCAATGTTTCGTTGAGATTAAATACAGCAGACACAATTGCATTTCCATCCGCAGCAGTCGGTATTATGTTGTCCTCGAGCAACTTTGTGACACATTGGCGGGTCAGGTCTTGCACCCAGGCTTTGCTTGTAGGTGCTCCATCTAATGGAGCAATGTTACTGGTGGGATTTGAGACCTTCTCAATGATGCTGATGCGATCTGCCACAGACGGAAAGCTGTGAATGAGTGATGGATACCTGTTAGAGGTGCAAATAAGACAGGTTTTAAACACTGATTCAACTTGTTTGATGATAATAACCCCGGAACGCCTACCATTGCTGGTACTTCTCAGCACGATCTACATCTGGAAGCGTCTGAAGCCATTCCTTTGCCCAGTCAAAAAAATCAAGTGGCAAATGCCCTTGGTGGAGGCCTGCAATTGCTTGGAATAGCGCAAAGTGAGAGTGCTGAAAGGAAGCCTTCAGGATGTTTCTTATCGTCCCCGGCGGCAGGGGCTTGTTGGATTGCTTTTTACAGAGATCAGCCAATGAATCAAGCATTGGTTTGCTAGCTGAAGGCCGCAAACAGACGTGGTCTAGGTAGAGTAGAGCTGGGTTTGTACTTTTGCTGTCGGATGCGCATTCTGCCAGATACTCTGCTAGGCATTTGTGTGGAACAATAACGAGAGCTGAACGACGATACCAATGGGTGGCAGAAGGGCCCTGCAGGAAATATGAATGTGTAGATACCCAATCAGCATCTCTCTCTCTCTCCCCCTCTAACATCAAACATGAATTCAACCATACCCAATTCCCCTGATATGATTCATAATCTTCCCTGGCAATTTCTAAATCCTGAAAGGGATCTTCCTCCGAGCAAAAGTCCATGTCAAAGTCGTAATTACTGGCAATCGTTGTGCCATCGAGTGCGCGGAGTGACTTGATCGTATAATCAGTCTCGGTTTCATCGATGGTATGGTGACCGGAATTGCTACCATCATCATCGTCATCAAAGTCATATCTAGAGCGTTTGTAGCTATGTCTACCGCCCCAATCTGACTCAACAGGCCCAGACGCTTTCTTTTCTAAGAGCGCTAGGAAGATTTCAAAAGGGAGCTCGTCCGCAAGGTCTCGTAATACCTGTACCCGCGCGAAGTCTTCAGCCTTGAGTGCCTTGAAGGACATGGCAGCTTCAGTGTATTCGTAATCGAGGGCATGGTAAACATGGCTGGGCGGATCGTTTGAGCTGTCATTAGTCAAGTCTTTCAGCCAGCGTTGAAGCGTTTTTCGGAGTGGTTTCTTTTGCGGGTCAAGTGCACTTGCTGCTGGTCGGGCGAGACCGGGCTTGATGGCCAGGTTGTAGGTCAAGACACATCGATATCCAGATTTGACAGGTAGGACCTCATGAGTCACGTCTGAGTACCAGCAAGCAAAAGATTGAGCTGCGTCCGATGTTCTTAACGTCTTGGATTCGCCGTTGTGCTTTACAACCACTTCACCGCCCACATGCATTGATGGCAAACAGATTATCAGAGTGCCGAACATGCCCGGAGTCCTTTCCGTGCTAGATTTTCCCGTCAAAACAACCCACCAATGAGTCAATTTCCAGTGTGAACATCACCAACGAAGTCAGTCAGGTTGAAAACAGAAAGTAAATGATAGAGACGCTTACTCGGTATGGGGTTTAAACATGGCCCCTTTTTCGTAGATGAGCATCTTGTACAGCTCTAATCGAATCAGCCCTTGGACGCCTAGACTAGTGGCGACACGCTTGCTCAAGTCGAGCAGATAGCTTTGCCAGGCGGGGTCAAGAAAGCGCAACTGATCCCCATTAAGTTCCCAAGTGTTGCGGACGGAGAGATCCACGAGTGTCTCGCTTCTGCGGCCAAAGGGAGCTTGATGGGCCTTGGCGATTAGCTGTTGGACCTGTTCCTTGCCAAGAGGCATCGCGATCTCGCCAACTCCATCAACATAGAGTCCAGCAGGAGGGGTAGTCGGAAGCGCCTCCCACGCAGCAAATGTCCCGGGAGTGGTGATGGCATCGAAGGCGTTGATCAAGTCTTCCTTCCAAGCGGTCTGATAGTCGACATCCTCTGAGGAATCTTCTGAGGAGGATCGATCAGAGTTATCGGAAGCACTGGGCTCGGAATCGTGTTGAAGGGCGGGGTCTATGTTGTCTGAGGCTCTCTCGCCGGGATCACGGTTGGAGTCAGGATTACCAGACATATCGATCGAGGATGGCGGATGTAGGGGAGTTCAAGCCTTCAAGGTGATACCTTGCGAGTCGCGCATACAATCTCCCTATCATGCAGCTCGCAGTACATGCATAGTGCTCTCTTGGCGTGCTCTTAAGTTGAACCCCCCGGGTGGCGCGGTCCCCGTCGGTCTCAGCGGGGGACAGCCGAGCTGCACCCGTTTTACCCGCTCCATTGACTTCGTGGTTGATCGAGCTGTGTCTTGAAGACTGGAAAATTACGATTAGGCTCAAGGCTCAAGGTGAGTTGATCTTTTCTCTCATTCCGCTTCGGTATTCTTATCCTCGCAAGGACCCTCAAGCCGCTCTTGTTTCTCGATCAACAGAACTTACAGATGTCAACGGACCGGCTATTGAAAGTGGCTACTGCACCTATTGGAGAGCCATCTGAGTCTCAAAACCCCACGAATGACGATCGATCGTCTGGGAAAAGTTCTCCTTCAGCCAGTAAGTCCAGGTTTTGCACTGCAGACAAAGAAAAATATACAAAAAGCTTGTAGACTATGCAGTTCAGCTTAATCGAAAACATCCACTCCCCAAGTCAGGTCTCGCTTTCGGGCTGGCGTCCAAGCAGTCACTGCAGCTCAAAGGGTCGTCTCGGGACCATCCAACCCGACCTTCCACTCCTCACCGACGACCAATCATTCATCCCAACAGCGCTACCAGTGGAACCACACCGGCCCACTCGAACCTGGCATCAACCCAAACCAACCTCAGCCTCAGTTTGCCCATCTCTCAAACCAACCGGTCTCCGTCAACCTCGTAGACTATTCCGACTCACAAGTCCGATTCCAATCCTTCGAACCTTCCCTCGCATCCGAGCTCAAGCGTCTGGAACGCGCCATCCGCTCTGAACCTAATCCGTCCACATCGAACAACCAAGCCCACGAGCAGACTTCCAGGCCCCCATGGGCTGCTGTGCGATGGATTAATGTCAATGTCAGTCATCAAACTATGGACCAAATAAAGCAGAAAACATCTCACAAACTTGAGGAATGCTGACTTGATGTATCAAAACAAAACATTCATTGCTAGGGTCTCAGCTGGGAAGTGATCAGGCTACTCGCGATTCACTATCAACTACATCCTCTTGCAGTCGAGGATTGTCTGCACACATCGGCTCGCTCTAAGAGCGAGTACTACAAGCAACACCTCTTCGTCCATGCGGCGGTGCACACCTTAGAAGAAAACCCAGATCTGCTCATTCCATCCACTGCTACTGTTGAGAAGAAGGACTCAAAACCTTCAGCCACCACCGATCAGCCGTTAGAGGGAGGACTCCTCGATCCCGATATCGACCCTACCGATTCCGTCCCCACCTATAAATCCACCGATCACACTCACGAAACCGCCGACCAGCCAATCATGGACCTCGGCACTGCAACAAATATTCATGGGATCCCAGGGAAGGTGAGCCGCACTCACCTCCTTCCCTTCTCAACCATTCACCCGCCAATGCCTCTTGCTCAAAAATATCATATTTCTCACGTTGAGATTCCTATTTTTTTCTATTTGCTCCTTGTCGCCATTGGGGCTTGGAGATATCCAGGAGGTCTTTGATGCCGAGCGCGAAGTCGTCAGACAACTGACCAAAGATTACAAGGTCCGAGTTCATGTCGAGAAATTGTCGATATTCTTGTTACGCGACGGTAAGCTCTTGTGTCATTTTACATGTGCTGAGACAAATAATGGAAAAATAAGAATTGACGCTGATTATTTTGACCTGATGACGATTGTTTCGATGAATAGGGACTCTGATCACGATCTTTTCACACGGCGGGTCCAAGAGCGTCTTACCGATCCTTGCCAGATTGAAGTCAATGGACACCTTGCTCAGAAGCTCGGCGGATGCGTCGATGCTACTTCAAGCCGTACTCGATATCGTGGTTGACCAAGCCCTGGATGTCGTCGAAGCGTTCCGCTCTAAGCTGACCGGCCTTGAAGCCAAAGTGCTCGTTTCTCCTGACCTCGATACCGTGCGGCATTGTATGTACCTTCATCCTCCTACTCCAGCACTGTGAAAACGACTGATCATCTCTTCGTCTTTTGTTCGCGTGCAGTGCATGTGTTGTCTGGGGAACTGTTGCTTCTCAAGCGAACGCTCAATCCTCTATCCACTCTAGTCCATGGAATCATGAACCACGATCCTAGCGAGAGGAAGATCACCAACTATCGTGGTACTCAGCGGTCATCGGAATCCGAAGGAGGCCCGGCTGAAGATTTCCGGTCGATCGAGCCTCGGGCGAGCGCGGCTAACTTATGCACCGGCTTTCTGTCTTCACAAGCTAAAGTAAGTTCTTCCTGGATCGCGCAGAAGCGTTATCAAATGTAGCTTGTCTCTGATAGTGATTTTATTTGTGTTTGTAGGTCTATATGTCTGATGTTTTGGACCATATAGACAGTGTTTTAAGTTCACTTGAATTGTTCAGTGGCTTGGCTTCCAATCTGGTCGATTTCACATTCAGTTCTGTATTTTTTCCCTAGCGTCTCTTGTCTATCAGTCATGCAATTCTGAAAGGTAGAGCTAACATGATCATCATTTTTGCTTATCTTCCGCTGTCTGGGCTTGGCGGTTATAGATACGATGAGCTTCTCAACTAACGAATCGATGCGACAGCTCAGCATTGTCACGATCATCTTCTTACCCTTGACGTTTCTCACCGGGTATTTCGGAATGAACTTTGTGAAGTTTGATGCCATTCAAAAATCAGATGCCTTGTAAGCACTCTCTTTCTCCATCCTAACTCGCTCTAGACAAACCAGAAGCATGAATGTAAATGTCTGAGCGTGCGCTTTGATAATCATCAAAAGTTTCTGGTTTCTAGCGCTGCCGATCACTACCGTCTTGGTCTTGGTGTTCACCTGTCAAGGAGTCAAGCGAAAGATGCAATTAAAATCAACGGCATTCAAAGTCCAACTTCAAAAATAGACCTCTCGCTCAACATGCATAGGTAGATACAGATACATACATACATACCTGGGGGTTGCTCTTCTTCAATAACGTTGTCTAGGGAGTGTATTCCATGCTTGTATGGTAATAATGTAATATATGGTACTTGGGAAAAAAGATACTACTTGAATAGAGTGGGCGATAGAAGAATTCCGAGCAGATTGGCATCTATTTTTATTAATTTTATCGATTGTCTTTTTTTTTTCTCTTGATGTTTCTTTGTTTTCATGCATCTGTACACCCACTTGTAAAATTGTTGTTTCATTGCACGACCTGGGGATATTGACCTTCTTTATTGTGTCTTGTATGACTTCATGTAGCGGTCCACTGTGTAACTGTAACAAAAAAAAAACGGGGCTTGATGTAACTTAGATAACTACAAGGCTTGTAGATTCAGTGTGGGTTGTTTCTCACTCGACTATGTGTTTTTTTCTTCTATCGTCATCATCATCATCCATGTGGGAAAGATGCAAGACAGAAAACAAGCTGGCTCAGTTGGGTTTGATGAATGTTATGTTGGTGAAATGAAATAACTACTTTTTGGACTTCACGTCCAAAGATACGGCAAACCGACGTGGGCAAGTTATGTTAACTTGAGTGCCCGTGTGGCAATCTGACGGCTGGCAGGTCAATTTGCCGACCGATTGACCCGACTGGCAGTCTGCCAGCCGAAATCAAACAACACGCAACTGCTGTGTCATACATATACACCACCAGGGGAAAAACTGTGCCCGTGGTCAAAGCAGCCGAATTCGCAAATTTGCGCGGATGTATAGTTGGCGGCGACATGGGCTTACCGGTACGTTGTGTGTGAAGAAAGGCTGGATACATCTATAACATACATAAGACGAATTAGGGCTTTCCTTTTTCCATGTGGAAATTTTCACTGTTGGCATTGTACATAAATAACTGATCGATTCGTCAGCGTACAGCCAAGCCAGCTTCAAGCCCACTTGGCAACCTTCGACGTATCGGCGGGCTCTCTTGAGACATGGGTCCTCCATGGCCGTTGGATAAACGTGCAACCATCCAGTCTCCCGAAGTCCGCTCCACTCTAAGAATCGAATATTTAAATCCTACCTCGCTCATCATACTTATCCTTACTTAATCCAAATCAGGAACCGTCAGCAACGAAGTGCATTATGAACATGTTCGAAAGAGCTCACATAACCTTTACACTCTTAGCTCTTTTCATCATCCTCCATACGGGCCAGGTAGTTGCACCTGAACGCAACCCTCAACTAGGCGGCACGAGGGAATGCACCTACCACTTTTCGCCTGACGGCAAGGTTAAAGGCAGGGCCTGTAAGTAGCAATAACTCACACACCAATACCGACTCACCATAGTACATATAACTGACTTTTGAAGATATTTCTCCATAAAAACTCAGCTTGCATGGCCGATCCTGATCATGATTACTCATGCGAAACCGATACCTGTCTAACCCAATATAACCACGGCTGTTTGTTCAAATTCTTATTAATGTGTTGTTCCCATTGCAATCATCCCCGGATTCCTGACGTTTCCTTGCTTTCCTCCTGACGGTTTCATGTCGAATTGATAACAGATGACAATTTCTACTATTATGGCTGTCACCGGCCCGATGTACCCTACAAAGATTCTATACAGGCAGTACAATATTTCCGCAGAAAGGATGACGGTTACGCTTGTGAGTCATTGCAAAGGTCGTTCTATTTCATCACTTTCCAAGACACCTCCTTACCTCCAACCTGTTTTATTTATGTGTATGTAGCCGTTCAGGACGCAAGGAAGCAATTGTTCTGGGACTGCAATTTTAATGCCCCAAATGCCCCCCACAACAATCAGTATCTCAGTAAGTATCGTCTATCTCGCACTCAACCCATGATTCAAAAATTGACTCGCTTTCCCTTTCGAAACCAACAGTTTGTGACGGCTGCTACGCTGTATGAAGAAAACCTCAGGCAACCCAAGGTTCACTACTTCCCCCGCTCAAGAAAAACACCTCGTCATCATCGACTCTCCACGGTCTCATCGCCTCACTTTTTTTTTCTTCATTGTGCCAGTCACCAAATTCAGCGAGCATCCTCGTGGAAGCATGTTCTTATTTTCTCTAGCGAGTGTGATTTGACTTGACTAGCAGACATATATATGTTTGATCTGAGCGCGTGCGCGTTCAAACTTTTATATGAAATCCAAGCTGTGAAAAACTGAAGATTGAAGCGTTGTCGTGCAATAGAGACTTTACAATCCCAGGTTAGATTAAGTCTCCTATCTGATTAAGGGAAGTTGTGGCCTCACCTTTTGACTCAAATTAATATCTCCAAAAAAAACGGCCCTTTTGATCTTGAAAGTCACAGGCTTACCGTTTGGCAATGAACCAAAATTGGCTACAAATTTCAAAAAATCATTGCAATTCTACGTATGCCATGCTAGAACAAGATTGCTATTTCCAAGATCCCGTCAAGTTTCTCCGCATGAAAAATAGACTCACTGAACAACAAAAATTGCCTGCTTACATTTTAACTTAAAGAGGATTCCTCACATCTGATTCTGGTTGCTTCATTTTATTTTACTTGTTCACTTGCTTGGCAATGAATTAAAATACCAATGGCCATAGATAGATAATCTGAATCCAATTATTAAATTTGAATGTTGACCCTTGCTAACAATTCTAAAGTTAGGCAAGTCTTCTTGTACTTCTCCATCAGCTTAATTTGGATTTGGATTTTTTCCCCCAGTCATTTGCCAGCATTTATATGTTCCTTAAGAAAAGGGATGAGGGGGATTTACATAATTGTAATTTTTTTGTGCATTGAAACACTATGAGCACCAAATATTTATTGTACAATCTCAAAGCTGAACTGAAATCGATTTCAGGACTTCTTGATGAGCTTTTAATTCTCATGGATTTTCAGAATTAATTGAGGATGGAATTTTTCCTTCATCTGATTGATGATAGTTATAGTGACTATTGACATAAAGTTCCTTTTTTCAATCTAAACCAGGGTATTGTTCAACAATATTCTTCCTTTCTCAGGTAATTTCCTCAAGCATAATTGGTAAATCTTGTCTAGAGGCTTGAAGCTGACATTGAAATTAAGCTGAAACCCTTCAAGTGCTTTGATATTTGACACAGTCTCAAGGAACTTAATCACCACTGAAGCCCAAATTCAAAAAATTAAAAGTTACCAACACTATAAAGATTATCTTAAAAAATGATGTACTGTAGTATCAGGAATACTTTCTGGCCATGGAAATAAATTTCACTTGCAGGCCATCCAGCCACAAATATAGTACATTCTTCTACCTGTATAATCAAATATCCAAGATAATCCTCTGCATCAGATTGTTTACTAAATTTCTAATGGATCCCACAGTGGTATTATGGCAAATTACTTCAAGAGAGCCAACTGATACAATGTGAAATTGATACATGTGTTTTTTTCCAGTACCAATTCCATATCTAACCAAAAAAAAAATAAGAAACAATTCTTAAACAATAATACAAATTTTTTTCTGAAATTCCTATTAGTACTGTGGTGAATAGTCAACTAGATTAGAAGTCAAAGACTGTTTCAAACAAAAACCCAACATCCAAGTCATGAAATGGGGAGTTTGAGATAGTTTTGGATGATGTTATAATTTCCTCAATTCTCTTCTTTCCTTCCTCCAAAAAGACTGTCTCCCCTTCACCTTTACTGTCACTTTGTCTAACTACAAGTTACTTATGCATCTCTGTGTAAACTCTCTCCATCAGCTGGTTTCACAATGCCATGTCACTAATGACAATTTGAAAGGAACTCAAAGATTTAAGCTCACTTGTTCTCACTTGACTAGACGGCAGAGAATCCCTTCTCTCCATCTAGGTCAGAACCTTTTCTCATTAATTCTTTTCTCTCATTTCTAAGATTCCTCAAAGTTGTACTGAAGAGAGAATCCTCTCTCTCTGTCTATTTTTGAAATAAAAAGCCCCAAATTGAATATGAGTATGTCTCAGTTTGAACTTGGACAAGTTGAGCTGTTACCGGGAATAATTTTTGGGGCTTGGAAAAACAACTCCTAAAAATTAGTCAACGACTCCCAACGAAAAATGAATTTGATATTTAGAAAAAACTAGAATCCAGAAACCCTGACAGTCAAGTAAAGGGGAAACTCTATTTGATATAATAGTAGATGAATGGATAGACAGTGCTTTGTGTCAAGAGGAAGAAATGGATATAACAGAAAAGAATGAGACTCTTTTTCTCTGTCAGATAACAAGGAAACCAATCTCAATTCTCTCTTGAGATTCAAGAGTTCAGAGGATGAGGGAAACATTTCATATTTGAGAGAGAATAATGAATGATCAGATGTGATGGAATTTGAAAGAAGATATGAAATGGGGAATCAAACAGAAATGAGTTTTTTCCCAGAAGGTGTGCTGAAATAGTAAATAAAAAAAGTCAGATTTTTGCATTCCAGAAAGGTGAGGTAACCCAACATGAAACTGGAAAATATAGAAATGAATGAAGAAATGATGCATAACTGAATACCAAAATAGATCTATGAAATGAGAATGAATTATCCCAGAAGATTTGACAATCACAATCATGTCATCTCTCATGCATGAATTCTGTTTCTGAAAAATTTGGTATCTTGCTATCTGTGAAAAAATTACTGAATGATTTAATCACCCCAAAAATGTTTTTGTCCTTTCTTAATCCAGGATAGTTTTTGGGACTTTGAAATGAATTTTGACTTTCTTTGAGAAGATTTCCTATGGTATCAAATCCTGACTTTGACAGATTGCAATAATCAAAATATACATTGGGGAGCAGAGGAAGTTGAAGACTTGGACTATCAACAAATTCAGTATAATGCATAATATAATAAGCTATTGAGAGTTGGAACCTTTTTGTTTTGTTTTGCTTCCATTCATCAAGATATTTCATTTCATTATTAACTGAATGCATGATTGAACTTAGTTTAGAGATAAATTGATCATCTTTCAAATTGATGGTTCCTTCTTGAGATGAAAAATTCATTGCCTTCATTTCTGAAAAACTTATTTCTCAAATATCGTTGAAAAAACTGTAAGTCATCAGGAGTAAAATGTGTGTCTGGATTTTGATCTGGATGAAGCTCTGCATATTTTTCTAGGATTCTTCTCAGGGTAAGGTATTCAAGATATTTCTTGTGTTCATCTGGAAGGTCTGAGTCAAACATCAATTTACAGTCAAAGATTAGTAATGAATTACAGCAAAAGAGGTTGTAAATAAATCAATGTAAAAGCTCAAATTTCAAAGCTTACCTCTGATAGATCTGTGGAAGTGTTTCAAAGAAGGGTTGGAAATCAAGAGGTCTATTGGAGGGTTCACCCATTCTGCACTGTCAAAGAGGTTTTTGCCCTTACTGGTTATCAGACAATCAACATGAAGTTCAACCAGCTTGACAACAGTTGTTGGATTAAATATTTCAATGTTTCCTTTTTCCTGCTTTGCTAACAAACCATGTGAGTGGATGTAATCTCCCAAGAGAAATAATGATTTCAAATATTTCAGCTGCATTTCTGGATTTTCTGGGCTTTTACATCTCCGTTTGATAAACTCCGCTTGGAGATGTTTCCAAATTGGAACCACACTATTTTTGATCATTCTTTTACTTGACCTCTGGTTCAAGGTTTCCGAGAGAGTGGAATGAATTTCAAGGGAGACTCTGCAACATTCTCAGGTTCTGTGATCTCAGCGCCTACGGTCTCTTCAATTGGCTCGATATAATTACGCAATTCATCTAGATGAACGGCGACAGCTCGCAATGCATGATCCAGCTTGAGCGCGTTGATCCGGTGGTCGATTTCCTTGTTTTTAGACCTAGAAATGACATCTGTGTTCAAGGTAGAGTTACTATGATGGTCATAGCAGGAAAACCTGAGCCAGAGAGCAAAAGGAATGAGAGAAAGATTCACCTTGATTTTCTGGAATCAGTTCCGCATTGCTACCCTCCTGGTTCCTTACTACCAAATTGTCGTGCCCGCGAAGTCCTGGAACTGGTATGTTCTTCCTCAATCCAGAATTCAAGTTTCTTGTGTCTGTCCTATGCGGCGGTACACCTTTGGGAGCAAAGCAGGTCAGATAGATTCAGGGGAAGGTGTAGGTTGAGAATCCTCAAAGAGCTCCCGATAGCACGAGAATGTTTGAATCTTACGATTATCTGCTAAATACTTGCCAAGCCCTTTGACCTCCATCCCCTTAGATAGTGGGATCTGGCTCCCTCCTAACGTGCAAAGAGCAACAAGAAAAAATGGAATCTTTGATGAAGTCATGATGATCTAGATTGAATTTGGATCTTGTGCTGGGTAGTGAAGCTCATGGTTGCTCCACAACACAGAAATTTCCTTAAACATGCGAGGAGTCTCCAGATTTTTCCCCTGAAAGTGAGCTCATTGTTGACCCTGCTTCTCCCATTTGCCTACAAATACCAGAGTCAGGCCGACTCTATGGAACAAATTTGCAAGATCACGAAGTAATACAGCCAGACTAGGATTCCGCTTGTTTTGCACAGTAGCGACGTGGCCCCACAATGATCTCTGCTCACGAGTCATGATATGTGCCTGATACCGTTTGAAGAAAGTTGATAACTTGATCTTACACCGTCTTACAATTATCCAACCAAATTTGCTCTCAGGAATAGAATTCATTTCCGATCCTGGTTCACCCGGCTTACGTCAAGAGTCACACTGACTCGGCGAAACAAATTTTCTCAAATCATTTGAAAGCAATACTACTCAGCTCATAAATCCGCTTGCTTTGCGTTTTGATCACAATTTGCTACTTCTTGTCCGGTAAAAAACATGGATCTTACTCCGTTCGACCAGAGATACAAGGCACTCATTCAAACTTTACACAGATGATTAATTCTTCAAATAAAGGGAGGCCTGGAAAGAAAAAAGCTGACAACGTTTTATACTTAACATATAAAAGTGATACACGGCTGGACTGCAAAACATAGTGGGTACACTACATGATAAAGATAGTATTATCATTCAGAAGTATGAGAAAGCATAAGACAGAAACATATCTAAACTTGGCACAGATTATGATCAATCAAAATGTGTGTCTCTGTATCAGAAAAGAAGTCAATTGAGCAGGTTTCATATGTTCCAGATTATGTATTTCTGTGTAAGTGAAATAAGTGTTGAACTGCTGATCCTGATCCACCCTTCTGCCTTACATACACCAGTCAGAGAAAGTAGGGGGGGGGGGCAATTTAGCAGTAAATTGGACTGAGTAATTAGGGCTTTCATAGATACACAGCTTCCAATGAATACTGAGAGAGATTTGAAGAACTCAGAAAGACAGTTGGCCTTAGTCAGCTTTGGCCATGATCAGGTTGTGAGGAAAATAAAATTGCTGAGATGAAACACTTTGATGGATGTGAAACACTTCAATGAATGCACAGATCAAGAGCAAAGATGAATTAGAAGCTGATCTTCTTTTCATATAAGATAATCTATATGATTGTGCATGTGTATTTTATTTTGGTTGGTATCCAACATCAGAATGTTGTAAGAAGTTGTACATGGTCTCCCCTTTCATCTCAGCTTTCTTTTGAATCTTGGGCTCCTTGGTGATGATTAAAGGAGGGCCTCCTTCCTGTGTGATCTGAAATGCTTGTGTGTTTTGAAAATGCCAGATTCTTGCAAGAAAATCTAGCTTTTGAGGCTCTCAATCAATTTGAGGGCAAGTCCCTCAATGCATGTAAGATTTTCTTGGGCTTGGATTGTACTTAGCCAATTTTAAACTACTAGGGAGAACTTAAAAGCTTGTCTGGCGCCACGTGTTATACATTACAGGGATAAGAACAAGAATCACAAAGTCAAACTTAAGTAACAGAGTATTACAGACATATTAAAAATAGGGATATTTGGATGAAGGTTTGAGGTTGGAAGATACGGAATCATGGAAGATGGATTCTTGCAGATTGAAAGAACAAGGCAAACTGTGGGGGGAAACTGGCAGATCGTGAGGCTATAATATTGACAGGAAGACATGAACCTTTGGCCTGATGGTCTATTGCAGATGAAAAGAAAGGAAAGGATAAGTATAAAGGATGATGATAAGAGAGATATAGAAATCTAAGCAGTCAACGATGAGACATAAAAAATGGACCAAACTTCCAAATGTTAATGAGGTACATATTTATCATGGCTTTTTGCATGGATGAAAAATTTACTAAAGAGGTTCTGAAATTTGACTGAACTTGAAATGGTGTCTGTGTTGTTGTGATTCAGGGTGGGAGACACAGACAGAATTGTAGACAGTAGAATTCAAAAGGTCAGAGTTGGGGATGATTAAAATAGTAGCATATCAAAAGTTGGTCCACCTTGATTTGTAGTGGAATCTCACTACATAAAATCAGTTTCAAGCATTTTGCTTGATACAGATGGTCACCACTGGGTTTCTTGAAGTAGTGCTTGGTGGCAATAGTAGCACTGTTTTTCCAGTTATCTTGAGCCAAGTACAGAAGGACGACATACTCCAGAGTGAATGGATCGAGCCAAGTTTGAAGATATGTCCATGGATTGAGTTCTAGTGCATCTCATCAAATCCCTCCCATGAACCCTTCGACGAGGGAACGAACGACTTTTCCATTGAAGCAGTTTTGGAGCTTAAAGACGCCCAGAATTAAGCGTTATATCTGTAAAACATGAAGATAATTGGCCGAGGACTTGAGATGACTCTTGGCAACTTGTTTTTCCTCTGTGATGGGTGTTGATGTTTTGTGCCCTGACCATCTGCTCAGATGGAGCTCCTGATCTTCTCTCCCTTGTCATCGAGTCATGATCAGGCTCACATAAAGAAAAAAAAAAATAAAAAAAAATAAAAAAAAAACCAAGGAAAACCGACGCTGGGTTTATGTAACGGAAAGCGCATTGAACCATCAAAACCAGTCAACAACCCAACCCAACCCAACAACAACAACAACAACAACAACACCCCCTCATCCATCACACAAACCATCTCACTTCCTTAACACTCTCCTCAAATCACACAACCAACAAACAAACAAACAAACAACATGCTCGACAAATCCATCTTGCTCTCAAGACCTAGACCACCAGCCAGGAAATCAATCTCACACAAACAGAACAACCAGCAACAACACCAACAAGAACCAGAACCAAACAACGACCAACTAAACGACTCCCCACTCAGCACGGTAGCCAGAATACTACAGGAGAGATCACCCGGCGGACTAGAATTCAAATCGAGTGACAGCTTCATCGATGCATGGTCCTATCAACAACAACAGCACCAACATCAACATCAACAACCAACTGAAGAAGACCAGGAACCGAAGTCTATTACCCATGAGTGGGTAGAAGCCAAGACGAGGGAAGAACTAGAGAGCTTACTACTGGCTGCCGATCGAGTCATCAGAGAACGCGAACGCGGTCAGTCTTCCTCAATACAACCCAGCTACATCTAGTTGTATGATATTCTGACAGTTTTAACACATATGTACAGACCTCGGAATCGCTGCCTCAATCGGCAAATCGTTACTCGAAAATAATATCGCATTACGTGCCAGACAGGAGAAGCTCTTGGCACAAGTCTCAGGCTCCCCACCATCCTCACCATCCCACCATCCTCGCCAATTCGAAGATCTCACCAATCGCTCAGAGGTAAGCCAAGTCATCCAACTCCTTCACCCTCATCCCAAAATCATCCAACTGAAACATGCCCACCCTTCCAATCCAGTATATCGAAGCTCGTCCACCCCCATCACCCAGTGACTCCGATCCACATGACCTACCATTCGAACTATCTCTCAACCTCACTCAGTCACCCACCAAAACCGTTCAGCGAGCTCATCAGCCAACCCCTAGTACCGAACAGCGAGCCACCCCTGCCGCTCCAACCAACCGTTTCCCGTACTGCTTGCGTCCTAAACCTTCGCCCCGCTCCTCCATCTCCTCCATCTCCTCCAGTCATCAGAGCACACGCAACTCTCATCTCCGCCAACAGCCAGCCTCGGCCTCTCCAGCCACCTTACACCGTCTAGCCCAACAGAATGAGTACCTCGCCGAACAGTTGGCCGATCTTCAGGCAGAGACAGCCGAATCTGAACTCGAAGGGCGTAAGAGGCTCCGGAAACTCGTCAAAGAACTCGAGACACTCCGTGCTGATCTCCAGCAGACCGAAGAACGTAATGCGCTACTCGAAGAGGAGAGACTGGCTCACCTCGAACAGCAGAATAATAACGTGGGTGATATGGTCGATGAGATCGTGGGTGACATGAAACGCGTCATGATGGAAGATCACGACTCGGCCCTCAAGATGCGCACCCCAGCCAGATCGTCAGCAAACTTCACTCAGAATGTCGTCGCCAGCATACCTATTCCCGAAGAGACCTCCCCCTCCCATTCATCCCACTCGCCCGCCAAATATACTCGATCTCACTCTTCAAGTCTCTTATCACTCTCCCCAAGGCGCTCGACGGTCTCAAATCTCTCTCGGTCTTCAATCGACTTCCAGAGTAGTCCTCAAGAACGCGCCCTCGTCTCCCAGCTCTTGAACAAGATTGCCGAACTGAAAGAGAGCCAGAACGAGTTTGACAAAGAGCGAGAGGAGATGAAAGCCAAGCTCCGAAAGGCGAGAGAGGAGGTTGAGGAACTCCAGCTCCTTGTCGAGGATGCCGAGTCAGAGTTACAGCAGGTCAAACAGTTGGACTGGGACGACCGACGCGGTTTGATCGAATGGGATGGTCAACCGAACCTCCACCACCCGCACCAATCCGTCCTGTCCTCGAGGAGAGCCTCTGGGAACAGGAAGATGATCACTCAGAGTCGAAAGGCCAAGTAAGTCAACTTTTGTATTCTCGATCTTTCACCCGATCAAACCAACTGACTTGGGAGATCGTTCTACTGTCTCAGGAAACGGCAATGGCCTGCCCCCGAACATCAACCTGGTAGCATTGGGAGCGATATCACAATCCCCGAGTCTCACCCTTCCATATCCTATGGCCAAGAACCCAGCTCACCGTCGATGCGAGGACAGGCACTCTCTATGGCTCGATTGAACCTGGGTTCTGCACAGGTTTCCCCAGAAAGCCAGTTTTCCAAGTTGGGTAAATTACGCGTCGCGTCGAATTCTTCCTTTCAGACACTCAGTGATGGGGATGCAAGTATCAGACAAGATCAGTCAACCAGCGCGACTCCCCTGCGCACCTTACTTTCCGAGATTGGCGGTCTATACCCGGAAGAATCGAGCCCGGAGGCCAGGTCCCCCATCGTCAACGGGGCAACCCATCACCCTGTTAAGAAGTACGGCTCGCTCGACCAGCTGGGCCCGCCACCCCCTAAGCGGATCGTCCAAGCAAGCTACACCGAGCTCCAACGTGCAGTTGCCGAGACTCCGTTGATGTGGGCGGATGAGAATCCATCCTCATCATCTGGCGAGAGGCTGACGAACGAACGCAAGCGGGATTCGACTGGCTGGCTGTACAGCAGCGCGACTCCCTACCAGCTCGAGTCTTGGTCGGCCACCAGCTCAGCAACGCTCGGGCTTATGTCCGCCTCCCGGCCGAAGCCGCCCCTCGACTCGCTCCTCCGCCAACGTCAGCAGCTGCTCATCCAGGGACGACCCGGTGTTCTCGGCGGCACTTACCGTCTGCGCGAAGACAGCCGTTCGTCCACCCTCTCCAGTTCGACGACTGTTGGCAGGCTCTCGCCCTCGGACCGGACGACGACTTCGAAGTCGGAGCAGTCGTCCTCAAACCGGGCCCTCCGTCGAACGAGTCGACGTCAGGAGGCGCTGCGTCGCCTAGGGATCCCGTCCTCGACGGACAGCTGTTCGTACACGAGTGAGTACGACTCGGAGCGGGGAGATGAGCGGGGCGAGGGCTCGTTGGGCTCAGAGGGAGAAGAAGATGAAGAAGAAGACCGGCCGGGTCAGGAGGCCGAATGGGATTACATCGATGCGACGGACCACGACCATCGGGTGCAAGGGTCGACGGGGACCGACTACTTCCCGATCTCGCTCCGCGCCCGCAATGCCCCGGCGATGGTTGTCGGACGCCTTCAGGCCAAGAGCGCCGGGTGGGCACGTTCGTCTACCAATGGATGAAGCTCGTCAGTGTCGTCGGTCTCGCCGTCGGATGGGCCGTTTGGCAAGGGCCTCGAAGCGCAATGGAAGAGGACTACCCCTTCGCACAGAACCTCAACCATGCCCAGAACCATCATCATCATCATCAACTCGAAGAAAATGAAATCGATGAGGATGATGATGGGGTTGGGGCGGCAAAGAAGACTCGGCGAAGACTGGCGATCGAACATCACCCGTCTCAAACACCCCGCTCCTCGGTCTCTCGTAAAACCAGCAGCCTCGACCTCCTCCCTTCCTCCCCCACCAATCGTACTACTCATCGTAATGATGGGTCCGCTCATCATGGCAGTCTTGTTATCGATGATCACTGTGCCAGTGGCCAGTACGACGATAGCCCGAAATAATCTTTCCGCCTTTCCCTTTTATTCTTTCTGTGATCAAGATCACTTCTTCTTTGGTTTTTTTTCTGAATCATTTTCTCACAACCTCTTTTCTTTCTCTCTACTTCACCTTTTCTTTTTCTTTTTTGCTTTCCTCCCTCTTTCCATGCGGTTCATTCTTCCGGACTAAGAAAAGAGACACTCCTGTCAACATACCTCCAATCTCGCTCGAGCGGCCTGCTCTTCTGCCTTGATTGAACTTCCCTTATATAAATATTCTGCCGCTTCCAGACCAACGTGTTTTCTATTCATCCTAAGTCTCCTTGTTCCTTGTGTCTCTCGTCCTCTGATATGTTGTCTATGTGTACGCGCTTCCTTATTTATTTATATATGTGTGTGTTTGTGTATGTCTATATGTACTTTGTATTGTCAGTCCCTCTTCGACCCCAATATCCTTTCCACTTCTTTTTTTTCTTATCCCCCTTTTTCACTCTTCTCTCTCTCTCTCTCTCTTGTCTATATTTTTTTTATTAGTTGACGCCTCTCTTTGCTTTACGTATACACGCCTTCCACATATTTATAATCAATACTCAATTGATCCTACTACATACTAGTCTTTTTTTTTCTTTTTCTTTTTCTTGTATGAGAAACTTGATTTTTTCTTTCTCATCCACCCCCTCTCTCTCTCTCTTTATGTGTATGGTAGTAAAGTTGAATTATTAGTGACAAGCTCTATTTTTATTTTGGTTTTGGTTTTTGTGCTGTGAATCTACAACATTAATGTTGGTTATATAAACCTTCCACACTTGATGGTTTTGATTGTATTGTGTTTTCCACTTGAAAGCCTCAACCCTTTCCCAACTTATTTATTTTTTCTCATGTTATGCATCAATATCAAGCCTGTTGAATCTTCATGTTGTTTTCATTTTGGCTGAGACATGTGTCCCTGATGAGAGGTAACCCAACCTTGCCTCCCCCCCTGAGCTTTTCTTGCCCTCATGGCATGAAGTGGCCATCCATGTCTGGTAGGATGCAGCCAGGAACAGGAACAGTGCTAAAGAGCGCTTGGTGATTGGTCAAGTCACATACATACCTGTCAAACCACAAAACTCAAGAACCCCACAGTTTTATAAGGAAGACATGGAATTGGTCAAAGGGTCATAAATGAAAGGAATGCTGATCAAGTTTTCTGGAGAAAAACCCACACACACACCCACATTATGTATTACCATGAACACTATCTTGGCTCATTTTTTTCTTCCTTCAAATCATATGTTGGACATCAAAGTGTGACTCTGAGATTTGTTTGTTTTTTGTTGTGAGTGAGTGTCAAGGAATGATAATGATGGGCCCTTGAATGCACAACCGTCTGCAAATGCTTCTTCAGATTGGATGGGAAGTCCTCCATTGAGTCACACCAATTTCAGGAAAACAGGATGTTATGACTTGAGCTTGGGGTTTTCCTATCTGGTCCACCCTTACCATTGGAGTGGTATTATGGGACATATTCAATTTTGTCTCAATTTGGTGATCCTTAATTCAAGTTCCTTCATGAATGGACCCTGCAGACATTAAGTTGATTATTCCAATGTAAAATCCAAGAAGAAGGAAAACATTTCAAAAAGCTCAAGCAAGCAAGTCTTCTTTTTTCCCCCCCAATTTTCTGGGGAAGGGCTTGAGAATATGTGATGAAAACTTAGGGGATGGTATGTAGGCAAGATGAAAGCTTACATATTGGTACCTAATATGTGTAGTTATTGTCATCTGAATCTTCTTCAGCCAAAATGTCCGTTCTTCTCACACGTCCCACCGGCCGGGCTCCGAGTTCGGGTTTCGGGCCGAGTTCGGGGAGTATGCGCCGCAGTCCGAACCCACATTGGCAAAGCAGCCCTCCCAGATCAAATCTCACAAAAAGTTTCCAATCAGATCGAGGCCAACATCAGAACAGGAGGACCAGAGAGAACGAAAAACAAACGCATGGAAATCGCATCACCAGAAGGTAAAGTACCCATCTCAACCGAAAACACCCATCGGGAAAGCCTCTCCTCCGAGCTAACTATATATTATATCCTAACTTGCACTCAAACCTTCGATGCACATTAGACTCGCCGAACATATTTAGATAATCATGGATACCGCCTCAAACGATGGATTGGCCCCACTTCCGGACGCTACCGGTTTATCCAAGAAGAAGATCTTACCAACCGTCGGCCCAATTGGATGGGGGAGTAATTTCAAGAAGAAGAAGAAAAGCACAAGAGTCTCCCTACCCGAACTCCCTCCATCCTCAGCCGCAGACCATCCGCCTTCCACACCATCTCAAGAACCACCCAAGAAAAAGAAACAGAAGATAACCAATCAAACCTCGCTCAAGAACCCATCAGATCATGTACTCGCAAACGATCCCAAAGTAATACCTACCCCAACTACAGCTCCTCAAACCTCTGCCTCTCAAACCCAAAACACATCTTCAAATCTCCAAAACCCCGAATCTCAACCGGCACCCTCCTCGCTTGCTGAATCTGCTACAGTCAACCCTGGCCCTCAAGCATCTTCAGATACCCACCAGAAACCAGTCTGGCCCTCATTAGATTCGTTCTCTAACTTAACCCCTCAAGAGATCCTCGCAAGGTTTGCTCCCAAAGCGACATCAACCCCTTCAACCAAAAAGAAGAAGAAAAGTGAAACAGTTCCAGAGCGACCCGTTGTACCTCCAAATCAATCATCATCTGCATCCGTCAAAACTAGCAACCCCAAGGATCTTCAAGCTGGTCAACAATCAAATCCTACTACCGAGGATCCTCGAATAATTAAACCGATCCCACTATCCCATCCGAAGAAATCGCTCAAGAAACTCAAAACTCAGGAACATCAGTCAACAGAACAACATGCAGTCTCGCCTAACCCTGGGCCGTCTAGCGATCAAACCAATAAAAATAATCCTCAACAGCAACACTCTACAGCTCCTGAAATCATACCCCAGCCCCAAAAAACCAACGGACTCGATAAAAAGACTACCAAGACAGTAAATGCTAAGAAAAAGGCAAACTTACCCACTAATGCAGGTTCAGATCAACCGCTGTCTGTCCAAAAAACAAACCCTTCAAGTAACATTATCGTGGATAAGGATAACACGGCGACCAACGTAGCCAATAATCAAGCAGCACCAATCAGTGGCGAAACCCGAGAAACCCATACCCGATTCCGAAATCAAAGTCAAAAAAAGCCATCAACAAAACCAAAGCAGCATGACGATCAGGAACAGCAACGACAGCAAGATTTGGTGCCTCCCCCAGTCCCGAGGGCATTTCCAATCGCCCCAATTCCCGAAAACGACCCAGAAAAACTTAGCCAGGTTGATAGTCCAGCCCCGCGCCCTGGAAAGCGGCGTCGGATTGATAAGCCCGCTGCTCAACCCCCGGCGGACGGTTTGACTCTGATCGACAACCCTTCCCAAAAAGTTTCAGAACCGGGAAGGGACGAAAATCTTGAGGCAGCAAACTTGAATCATGCCAAAGAACTACACCCATCCCCAGCATGTCCACTTCACATCAATGAAAAATCTTCAGCTCAGCCTATAGAATCCAATCCAATTCAACCCGCAAATACACAGTCGAGCGTTCCTGCCTTACCTGCAAGCAACCAATCCCAATCTCAGCTATTGAGCCACGTGGAAAAAGAAGCAACAAAAGCTCCGGAAGCCAAGCGAAAGCATCGAAAATCTACCAAGCAGCCTGCAGGACAACCCGATCACAACGTAGCTATATCGGAAGCTGCCCTGGTCGCTTCACCCAGCCTATCAAAGTATTCCAAAGCAGGCAAAATCGAGACTCCAAAGCCGAACGACCAACCAGGAAAAGGTTCAGCGTCTAGCTCAATCCCGTTAACCGCACCAAACCTACTGCAGGCCACAAACTCCCAGACCCAAGCGACCTCTACAACCAAAAATTCACAAACTCATCAGCCAGCTTTCCCACAATCAACTGCAACAGTAACCGATCAAAACAGAAATCCTATCCTTCAATCAGATAATCACTACAGAATTGGAGCTGCCGACCAGCATTCCCACAATATCCCAGAGAGTGTTTGCTCGAACGGGACAAAAAGAGAAAGGATTAAAACTAAAGCCAAGCAAAAGAAACTTCAAAAAAAGCAGAGCTTGCGCAGTGGATCGGTTTCGACCACGCAAGAAGTCAAACGTTTCTCCAGCGCATCGCCCCATCCCACTCAGAGGGATTCCCACGTAAGCTGAATTATCTATCCCCGCGTTCCTTCCCAATCAATCATTGAGATCAGTATTGTTTTGTTCAGGTTCCTTCCCGACAGTCCACCCCAATTTCGATGATCAACGTCCCAAAGCACTTCGGTCGATGGGAGCTCTCAATTCCGTCGGATAGGGATGTCTCCATGTCCTTACTAGCCCGGATGCATCAGTTTCTAGATGAGGCTGTGTGTGCTGGATTTGCAAAGCCGATTTTCCGTGACCCTACTCCGGCAATTACTGAACCTTCACCCTCAAGCCCTAGGCCTGCTCCAAAAGAGTTGGCGCCAGACGCCCATGCAACAAAGCTGCCTGATAAGCCGCCGTCGACTATTCAAGATCCAACTCCTGTTACCGACGAAAGCGGCTTTGTAGCACCCGGGGCCAAGATGCTGTATCCTTCTGGAACTACCAACCTTGCGGATATCGCCCCAAGAATTATTCCTGACGGTAGAGGAAAACGAACTTTCAGCATTTGTTCATCTTCTCTTAGTGAGGATATAAACGATACGGTAATGATGACTTTAGGCTTAGAGGAAAATTCCCAGTCCGAGTTTGCGGCCGGTTCCATCAATCCGAAAGCCCCCAAAGATCATGCAGTCGATTACATTGAAAATACTACCGACGCTCCTCCTGACCGGTTGGAGAAGAGTGCTGTCCCAGCACCCATCTCTGAAACTTCCTCAGAAGCTGATTTGGGTTCACCTCATTTGTCAAAGTCCGAGGTGCGTCTGTAAATGAGACTGAACAGCCGGTCTTTTTGAATCTCAATGTTGACCATTGATACATTTTTTTTTCTTCGTCACTGCAGCTACATTCTAATAACAAGGGGGCCACCAAACAAGCTGAAAATGCTATAGCCAAGAGCGACATCCATCAAATTACACCATCTAGCGATGAGCCTGCCACGTCGTCAAACGACTCTTGTTCACCACCAAAACTGACGCAAAACCCACTACCAGGGTCAGCAATTGAAGTTCATGGCCGATCGCCAACGTCCTCCGCACCATCAACCCAACCGAAGATTTCAGTCCTAACCCAGAAACCGGTATCAGACTCGGACTCTTCTAGCGAGGATGAGTCAGAAGTCTCAGACGACTATTGTCCACCAGACCAGGCAGATAAGGCTCCACCGATTCAATCGATATCAGAGCCCCAGTCTAAATCAAATGACTTCACGGAGGCTAAAGAAAGGCTTCCGCCAAATGGACCAAATGTACATTCCACTTCTTCTATCACAGCCCATTCCTTGACGCCAAATAACGGCCTGGACAAGACCTCGCCGGCCCACCAAATAGTAGCGACATCGTCTGATTCCAGTGAGGATGCTTCCACTGAGGGGGATTCGGAACCCGCAACCAAAGACATCACAGTTAACCAAACGGATAAGACACCAATGCAAAAGATCGTTTCAGCAATTCCTAATCCATCCCTACCTCAGCAAAACATCATCACTGAGACGGTAAGCCCCACGACAAGCTTTAACCCCTTGTTCCTTCCCAAATTTTTAATCCCGCCTTTTTCGTATCGTTTACTTACAATCATCTGTTTTTTTCATTTCCTAAACGGTAGCCATGCGAATCTGATTCATCCTCTGAAGATGAATCAGAGTCGTCACCCGAGGATAGTGCACCACCGTCCGCACAACGCCCACCAAAATTGGCCAGGGAGGAGAGCTCGAGTTCGGATTCCGAATATTCATCGGCCAGCTGTTCTGATGCTACCTCGCCCAAGAACCCTCCTCCCCCGCAGCCTTCGTCTGTCCCCCCAAATCGAGATGGAAGGGCTGGGCTCTACGCAAAAGGGCTAGTGGCGGGCAGAAGAAAAACATTGGACGCCTTCCGGCCGCTAGATTTCACTTCGAAAACCCGCCAATCGATTGGCCATCCTCCTCTCTCAACAGACCTGACCAAGCAAGCAGACCATTCCGATAAAGACTCGAGCAGCTCTAGTGATGAGGACGATTCGGAGAGTGATTCGAGCGGGACGGATGACGAGCCTTCGACTAATAAGAAGAAGAAAGCTGACAATCCAACACTTGGCTTGCCTGCCCACAAACTCGCCGGAAGCGCTGCTTCTTCTAAACCCACTAAAGCCCCTTCATCTACTGCTAATCCTACTCCTACCTCCACTAGTCCCAAGAAAAAGTCCGCTAAAGGTCGTAGGTCGATTGCCCAGTTATGGGCTATCGAAGAAGCTAAAATCAGCAAATCGAAAAAGAAATCTTAGTTTGTACTGCATTTTGATATTTAAATTCATTCATGCTTTTGTTGATCTTTTCCTCATTCCCTCTTCACGTTTATACACCCATGTCAGGCTCTTCAGATGATGAACGTTAAGATGTGCTCTGAGCTCGTTATGCATTAAACCCAGTTTTTTTACCTCCTCTGGCTTATTAGTCTCCCAGAACCTTAGATGTGCAATAGTTCCTTATCCATATTCTTGTCTTCCTTGTCTCTCTGGATCATTACTACATTTCTTTTCCTGCTTTAGCTTCCTCTTACTTCTCGCTCAATAATACCCACACACACATGATCACATCTCTCTTCGCACAAGCAAAAAAAACAAAAATGCAAAGGCTCTGTTGGATTGATTCAATATGCACATGTATGGCTTGATTACCATTGTCCACAGACAGATTGATACCAGTGTGATCGTTGGCACACTTGGTGAGACAGACTTCATCAGATGAACTTCACTGCAAGGCGGATGGGAAAACTTCATGTATATCACGCATTGGAGTGACTTGGGGAAACATCCCTCAATCATCAGATGAGGTGTATAATCCAAGAACCTTCAAATTCATGGGCTATAAAGAATGTATTGATGTCAACACAGTGTGAAAGAGACATATCAGCTCTATGTATGTATAAGTTTGACATTCATTTCTTTTTATTTCTCTCTCATTTGTCGTCAAACATCTTTTTTAGGATTTGTCCTGTTGGAATTATCACCCCCCTCCGCCCGGTCAAAGAAAAAACTGAATGATCAAAATGACAATGATGCAGGATATGAAGATACACTTCCAGGGTATTGCACTAGGGGGGGGGGGGGGGGTCAATACAGCTCATCATGCCACCAGTCCAAAAAAAAACATTTATGTATTGCTCACTTTGTTACAAAAAAAACACACATGATTTTTAATTTATTTTTCCCTCTGCAATCAAATATCCCACTGAATTGTTCCCTTTTTTCCTCAATTATGCAGCCCATTTTGAAAGTCTAGTACTACATACATAATCACTTCAAGCCTGAAGATGATTTGTTTGCCTCTGAACCAGAAAATAGCAGGCCAAAAAACTTCTGTGGCTTCCCATTATATATCCACCATTTATGTACTCCTATGGAACTTGAAGGTGGGTTATTGAACAAACCAAAAAAAAAAAAAAAAATCTTTTCAAATTCATCAGATTCAGAACCACATACAGAAAAAAGGGCTATGTACACCAGCCAAAACAAAGCAAAAAAAATCCAATCCTTCACTATCTGAAAAACATGCACACACAAACTGAATGTGATGTCTCGTTGTAACTGCTTGCCTCAAGACTCCAGAGTCCATACATGGCACTCTTAAAAACAATATCAGTAAATGAAAGGAGGGAGAAGACAGCTTCATTGTGATTCATGTCAAGATGAAAGGGAGAATAAAGCTCTGTCATGATTCATAATAGAAGAATAAAAATGACTGATAAATGTATATTTCTATACTAGGCATGAATTTTATCTCTCTCTTTCTAGGTGTTTTGTGAGGAAAAAAAAACACTTTCACTTTTTGGTTGTTGTGAATTTGTTGAAAAGAAACAAGACTGATGAAGAGAAACAAGAACGTGACAACTTGACAAAAAGATTCGAAAATATATATAACAGGTGGCACCTGCGGGTATTTTTTTTTTCTATCCCCGTCTGCGATCCCCACCAGCTGCAACAGCTCTGCCGCCAATCGGACCCGAGAATGTTCCCCTACCTCTACCACCACGATAATCTGGGAGGATATTATGTGCCAAACAAAGAGAATATAAAAAGTTAGACAAAGGAGCATGTCAAAGAGCAATTGAAGAAGCAAAAAGATAAAAACTTCACTTTTAGCACCACCGCCTCGGCGCGGACCCCGTTGAGGTTCCCCATCCTTGCGTTCAGCCCCACCGGTTCCGGCTCGATTGGCGCCATCTCGATCGGCTCCCGCGCCGATCTTGGACTCCAAATACCTCTCATTAGTTTCAGCCATCCCGCTAACTTTATCGACCAGGCCGATTGTCAGTTGCTGGAGCTTGGTGAGCTCCTGCTTCGATAAGACCACCACCTTGTCGATCTGGTCTAGTGACGCTCCTCCTAACTCTTCGTTCCATATCATCCTCGATACTATCGATGTTACCTCCGACTCACTTAGTTGGAAACTCGTGGCCAGATATTCAATTGAGACCGTCGAGTAGTATGATGAGTATGTAAACAGGTATGTCCGTAATGCTTCTTCTTGAATTTTTCTGCACGGAGAGTACAAATTATTATACGAGTCAGCATGGAAAAGAGGGGGGGGGGGGGGGAGCAGAGATAATGATCGGGGCATGCGACGGAAGGTGAGTTGACTGACCTAGTTAGCATCTCTTTGAGGGCATCTTGTCGAGGCATAAGAGCCCAAATCTTAATTCCATTGATCAGCTCGATACATTTTTGCCAGTCGCCGGTCTGTAGTGCTTTAGACGCCTGCATGATGTGGTCACGTTTGTTTTCAGGTGGACCGGTGAAGACTTGGCGCTCGGCATAGTCGAACATACGCCTGAACGTTCTTGAGATCTGACGTTTTTTCAGTTCTGCATCGTTTCCGGCTTGGGCAAGATTGGGAATCTCTAGTAGCATCGATGAGACAAGGTAGGCGCATTCCAATAGTTCCAAGTTGATGTGCATGTGGTATGGCAGTTGTCGTTGACGTTCAATCTTATCTTGCTCGGGGGTCAGTTGTGAATATCGTTGAGCTTGAACGCCTTGGGCGAGGAGTTCCTTGACTCGCTGAGAAGCGAAGATGTCCTGCAAGATCGATTGACTCTCCTTAATCAAACCCAAACGGAAGGCCGACAGACCAAGTTGGACGACCGTCCGGTTGTACATGATTTGCGTCCCAACATCCGCTCCGTGTACAGTTTCCTGGAGATGCAACATCAGTAACAGGTCACGAGCTCGGTAATATTCGTCATGTAAACCGTAATTGAAAATTTGACAGAGGGCCGCTCGAGTTTGAAGTAGGGAGTTGTCAGTTTTGTAGAGATAAGCACAGAGCGCATGAATGAGTTCTGAGGATGAGTATGATGCTGAGTCTGCGGGGCTCGAAGTGGGGGTGAATATTTTTGAGGGCAACTCGGGTACAGCAGCTTCAAGAGGTTGGATGACGGCATCGGGCTTAGGAGATAACAGCGTGATGATTAGTGATGATGGCAAAGAGCTGGTACATGGGTCCGAGAGAAAAAGTGGAACTAACCTTGCAGTACACATGCTCAAGTCTCCTGGTGACTGCCTTTGCAACAGCCGAAGTTAGCTCGACTGCTTCAAAATAACTCTGGGCCCGAACAATTGTGCAATAGAGCTCCTTCTCATCCTTCAAGCGCTCAATGTATTCACTGGTGTGAGGGTCGATGTTTTGCAAGCTTTTGGTGAATTCGTCGTCTAATCGATCGAGCAAACTGCTAATGCTACCCCTGACTTGCAGCTTTTTGGTAGGATCGGAGTCTGGGGCACGTTCTTCTTGGTCATCGTAATCGACAGTTTCTTCTTGGACGACAAATTGAGTCTCAGTCGAAAGTAAATTTAGTAACTCATCGAGGCGGACTCGAGCTGATTTCCAGGCCTCAGTCGGTAGGTGGGTGGTAATTGCTGGGTTGTAGTCAAATTGGCTTGAGATCAAAGCCAACAGGATCCGAATACGTTGGTAAGTGGTGGTGGAGATACTGAGGAGCTTGTCGAGGATCATCAGTTGCTCCTGTCGATCAGTATTTTTCTTTCCGCGTGCCTCGAGTACGGACTGGAGAGTTTTGAAGATTGAGTCGGGTGAAAATGAGAAGGATTTTCCACCTTTTCCAACCATGGTAAAATCATCATCGTCATCAGGCTCCTCCTCAGAGTCATGAGTCTTGCTCTTTTTGCTCTTTTTGGCAGCAGGAACGGGGGCATCTACCGCAGCTGCTTCCTGCTCGAAAGCTTCTGGGTCCTAAGCATCGTGATTCAACAAAAGAAAAGTAGTATTTAGCTGAACGTTGCGATGGAAAATGGCTTAGTTGGGTGGGCAAGAAAGAGATACGAAGGGGCAAGTAAAACTGACAGCCTTGTATTTTTCGATGATCGCTTCATTTTCACGGATAGTTTTCTTCAGTTTTTGTTTCATGGTGTTCAAGGCCTTTGCGTTGGTGGCATTCATTTTCTTCTTGACTGCTGCATTTTCGTTGACAGCGGTTTGGCTCTCTTCCAGGCTGAGGATCACTTTGATGAAGGAGACTGGAAGGGGGTCGGCGGCATTAGCCTGGCGAGTGATTAACCGGACGAGCTTGTCGAATTCTAGTGTGGGAGGAAAGAAATAGAGGGATGATCAATCAGATTGGTGATGGGTGAGGGAAGGACGATACTAGAGGATGAAGTTGATAACTGACCGGCACTGATGACGACCCAGTCATTAATCTTGGCCCCATTCTCCATGATCTTAACGCTCCCATCGATCTCATCCTGACGCTTACTCTTGGCACTCTTGACGACCCTTCGACTCTCATCTTCTGAGTCGCTATCGGTATCACTGTCGGCACCAACCAAGAATTTGTTGGCCTTGATTGCGCCGGTTGTCGTCGTCTTCTTAGGGTCATCATCCGAGTCCGAGCCATCCATGTCGCTTGAATCGTCATCTGAGTCAGAGTCATCAGAGTCCGAACCACCTTTCAGGAATCGATTCTTCAATGGTGCCGTGGTTTTCTTGGGGCCATCTGCCTGACCGGCCTCGGAACCTGAGGCACCTGAGAGCAATTCCTCATCGCTGGACGAGTCTGATTCGGAATCCGATCCGACGGTACGAAAGAACGATGACATGCTTAGGTCCGACTGATTTGGTTTGTACTATAGTTTCTCTGCAGTCGATTGATGTTTTTTTTTTTGGTTGACCTAGTGAAAAGTTGTTATGGTCTTTGGTGATCGGCTGAAGAGGGAGGGGATGGATGGGGAGAGGCGAGAAGGGTGGTCGACTGGGCAGAAAACCAGTCAGAAACCATTCTTGCCATTTTAAACCAGCCACCCACCTAACTCGATCGAGGGTTAGGGTTCGACATCAAAAATACACCATGTGCAGCACAACACCAATGTACATACCAGCACATGAGACTCAAGAGCCGTCACATGAACATTTATTGAAACTTTTTGATTGAGATGAATCACTGGCAATGGGCTGACTGGGTATTCCTGCTCATTAAGAGCGCATCAAGAAATAGCCATTGCAAGGCTTTTTACACTACACCAGTCCATGCAAAGCTGGTTGAAAAGGATTAATGTAGAAGAAAAAAGATGAAAATGCCCCAGTCCATCATCTGAATTTGGTAACAGAATTGGAGGATTTCTGCTACTGGAATAAACAGAAGGTAGGTTTCTCTACTGGGAGAGAAGGTACAAAAGACCTCAAACTCCATAGCAAAAATCAATTCTAAGTTCTAAGCCTTCAGAAAGAAAAAAAAATCATCCGTTTTGAAGCACGTTGGTTTGAAAGCCAGAAGAATTGCACATATCATCTGGAACATGATCGGAATGCGATTGCAAGATGTTGAGAGATCGTGATGCTCCGTTGGATAAATTTTCCATCAGGAGATCATATTTTCCATGTGTTCGACGAGCCTGCCAATGTTTGCTCAGCTGGTTGAATGAGCGTCAAGATGTATACGAACTCCTGACTGATGCACCATTCATGATGCCTCCACTCCAAGCACCATTGGACCATTGTCAATCCCACTGCCAGCCCAATCCCAGTACCATATCCAGTGCTAAAACCAATACATTGGTGTTTTTGTTGGTACATAGCTGCAGATGCACTGCTGGAACCAACAACACCGACATGGAAGTTGATCTCCTGTGCAGCTGATCGGGATGCCTCTGTTGACTTGAAGCTGGGAATGGGTTCAGCAAACACTGAAGGAAAACGCTGGTCTGAGTCTGCTGGTAAAAGGACGTTAGCACGGTGGCATTGGAATTCATACATTAGGGACCGGTGGACAAGACAACTCTCAATGGCATTACTCATGGCATTACTCAAATGGGCACTCAACGGCGGTTACAGCAAAAAGAACCCAGACCCACGAGGAGTGTTTTGTCATTTCAATTTTCACTGATGCACATTGGAATCTTGACGCTAAGAAAAGAGTATCATACACTGACTGGTAGCTTACAAGAGGCAGGTGGTCACACTTTGTATACCCATTCATAAGCTTCAAGGTTGATTAAAGAAGAGATGGAAGAGCTCTGACTGGGTAACACTAACTGGTGTGAGGATTGGAACGAGATCGGGTGTTTATTTCTTCTTCATTCTTCATCCAATCCATGGGCAATAGGTCATGTATCACCCCGCACACTTCTGGCATTTCATCATTTTGGTCTGTTAAAATAATCGAAAAGATTTGCTTATAATCCCTACTGCGTGTCCTCTCAATACATATAGCACATCAAGATCCTTCGTGATTCTCCGGTACAGGATATATCAAGAGAAGTTCTTGTAAGCACGAAGATAAAGGCGCTTGCATAAATAACTACGAAGAGTGCGCCAAGTCGTGTTAAGTCCCTCTTCCACGTCTTTTCCCCGTGAAGCTTGCTTATCGACTTTTGTAATGGTGTCGCTGCGGAAAGAACACTTTTATATATTAATGCAGTGAAAACTCTTAGGCGCCCCTAGCCCTGTCAAGCCCTGGATCAACTGGATTCAAAGGGTCGGAGTTCAGGAAAACAAAAAGTGATTTTTTTTTGGTGGATCAGCTAGAGCCTGGTGGAGATGGCATCTGGACCAGAAACGCACCTGCTCGCTTGTGCAGTGTGACCATGTAGAGGCGCAACTCCCTCCGCTTCGCACTAGTGCGAGTTTGTTGTAACTCGCAAGCCAGCGAAACTCAGGGAAACTCCCAAGTTTTCCTATACAGTGAGGCTCTTCGGGTCTTTAGTAGACACACGCTTTCACTAGCTTTCACTTCCACTCGCCTTCCATTCGAAACCAGCGCACAATCAGGAGTCGGGATGAGCAAGTTACTTGTGAATCCGGGCATCAAAATGACATATGCAAGCCATGATCGACGATAAACCACAGGCTACCACAGGTGCAGTTAACTTGGTGGCTGCTGGACCTTGCTGGACTCTAGTAGTCCCGGACATTACCAAAATCTCCAAAAGACACGGCTCATGGGTATCCATCCGAACACATTCTTGAAAGGAGACTTTCAGTCTAGCTGTCAGTTTATCGGACGCTGCCGGGGTACCGCCGTGCCAGGGGTGGATCTTCTCTCGCCAAGTGCCCCCGCGGCGTACTCAACATCCGACAATGAGTCTGCCCAGATATTTATTTCTGATGGGAAGAACAGCTATTGTACATGACAAATTATCCACTGATGATCTGGATTTTGAACTCGCTCGTACGCCATGACGCACGCGCATCCCTTGAGTCCACTCGCCCTTTTAAATGTGAGAGGATCATTTGAGTGCTCGGCCGAGTTGAAGAGTCGATTTAGCTTTTGCACCAGGCTATGTACCCGACGGGGAAGGGGTGCCCATGCGGGACCAGCGCTAGCCTCAATAGTCGTTTTCGCCGGCGAAAATGCGGGGATGACACCCCCTTCGCCCTTGACGCTTGGCCCTTCCAGTAAGCTGCTCTTGTAAAGTCGTGAGTGTGATGCTAGGCTAGGAGAGGTGGTCGGATTATGTTCGTGATTCTTTTCCCAGCTAGTATGTAAGCTTTAGCAAGCCTACTACAATGGAATCAATCTATCCGGGCAAGACTCAAGAGTCATTCGGCCCAAGGCATCCAGTCCTCGCTGATGTTCCAGCTCTATACCCCTTCACGTCGGGCATCGTATGTCCTGGGCAATGAAACCCGCCTACTCACATGGAAGTGTTTGAGCGAGGATTCGGCGCTACATTGGCGCAGTTCTTATCATCTCGATTCCTCAAAGCTTGAAACATTTCGTGGGTCGACTAAACCTGGTCTTGTTCAATCTTCAAACACATCCTGTTGATCTAGTTCCGATACACTTTCAGGTGATGCTCAACAAAAGCAACGCATTGCCCTATCTTCTTCAACATAATTGAGGATCAGTCATCAACTGCTCTCTCACTGTCAGCCTCGAACCTTCCTCATCTATCGTTTGGTCCAGAAAACTCGACTCGCCCCGTTCACCAGCACCGGACGGCACTACACCAATTTGTCGAAGTACTATCGTCCATCGTGTCAAGACCTTGAGGGATCACTCAGATCTTCTCTTACCCTATCTGTTCAAAGGACCTTCTTATCATGGGAATCATGCCTCTGAATCCTAACTTGAAGATTGCTGTCAATATACCTCCCCCATCAGTCATTGCTCGTCAACGGACGTGCTACCGCATGTCCATCGCCCTCAATTTGATCGTAGTTATCACCCTCTTTATCACAATCTACGCATCTATTTTCATACTCATCATCCTTGCCACCCCGGACACCCCTCGTTTGTTCGCTCGTTCACCCGCATTGACAAATTCGCCCAGCGGCGGCTATGCACCGGTTAGTGGACAAGTGATACATTTCTTAATACATGTCAATTTTTCTCGAGGAGCTCACTTTTATTTTTGCGCCGGTTGACTCTTCAGGTTTGGGTAGATTGCCCTACCGATTTGTCGGTCAGGCAACCCACCTTAGCAGGTCCTCTGGCTTCTAAGGAAGCAGAATACATCACAAAACGGACATTAAAATCTGTCCCCTACTGGCGCTCTTATCTTTCCCGGGCTGGTCTCTCAGAATTTGATATTGAGGCGTTCTTGAAAAAAGCTACAACTGAAGGGGCTGTGAGAGGGCTCACACTACCCAACATCGGTAAGTGACACAAAGCCATGTGTCTGGCTCTTTTCCTCTTAATTATGTCCAGTCTTCCTCAAGTCTTTTTGAAATCCCCAGGTTTGGCACTTTCAGGAGGAGGGCCTAGGGCAGCTCTCATCGGTGCCAGTATGGTTCACGCTTTGGATGATAGGAATCCTGACGCGGTTAGGGCCGGAGTAAGTTAGAGTGATCATTTTGTCAATTTTGGAGACTTTCTTGGCTAACATCCTGGTCCTCCTCAGACGGGTGGGATCATTCAACTGGCCAACTATGTCACTGGGCTCAGTGGGTGAGTGCCGTCTGTTAGGTTGATGTAGCAGGTTCATCTTACTAATATGTAATTTGCTGCTTTGGTTTAGGGGTTCTTGGGTTTACCGAGCTCATGGGTTCGTTAGGCTACGCCCGCTTACTGAACACTGATTCAAAACTACACCCTGGGACATGCCATCTGACATCCTCTCTTTACGCACTCTTCGCACTGGAAAACAGTCCACTAGCAATTTCCCTGATGTCCGTGAATTAGTCTCCACATGGAAATTACAACAAGATAATCAGCCTCTGGATTGGGAGACGGTCAAGAAATACCCACCAGCAGTCAAAATTGCCAGAGAAAAGGCCAATGCTGGCTTCCCGGCTAGTCTTGTGGAGTAAGTAATCTGGATCATGCCCGCTTATAAACGTCACGGAGTTTTCTAACCGATTTTCTTTCAAAGTGTATGGTCTTTGATGGTTGGGAAGCACTTTCTGTAAGCACCTTCAACTTCAAGTCGAATCCAAGTGCAACTGAAACTCATATGATCATGAATATCAAATCAGAAACGCCCCCGATTACGGCAAAAGTGTTTTGTTTAATTCGATCAGAGACGTTCCTGCCTTCCAAAATTACGATGCCCCTTTCCCTATCATTGTAGCCACAAGGTGAGCGGCAGGATTAGGCCACTACTCACAAAAGCTTTGTGCTAACAAGATTGTTTGGCGCTCCTCAGCCGCGGAGAGAAGGGTCGCAGCAGCATTGATCTTCAGACTCCGATATGTGGGTAATGCCTTTCCTCAATTTCTTCGCGGTTCATTTGCAGGGGCGCTAAAACGTTTCTTGCTTGGGCGTTCAGATGAGTTCACTCCGTACGAATTTGGTGTATGGCATCCTTCAATGAACGGGTTCATCCCAATCGATTATCTTGGAACCAGCATGTTTGATGGTAAAACTATCCCACAATCACCATGCGTGAAAGGGTTTGACAATGCTGCGTAAGCGTCTTGATCATTACCCACAAGCTAACAGAGTCGCATGAGCTGACCAATAATTTATCTAGCTTTATCATGGGCTCTTCATCCAACATCTTGAGTGAACCCTTTGCACCCAACGAAAAGATGACATTATGGAACAAGATCGTCGCTGGGCTTTATGAATACTTCACTCGCCACATGTATGACGAAGCACTGGTGAGACAAGCACTCATTGGTTTGCATGAGCATTGCTAAGGAACATGGCTTTTACTTTACAAATAGGTATTCAATCCATTCAATGGATTAGGCACGGGATCTAGTCCAAAACAGGAATTTCCGGATGGCAAAGATACTTTACTCTATCTGGCTGATGGCGGCTTAGGAGGTAATTATGAACATTCCAGGCAGGTCATGCCTTCCTCATACTGACGATGTCTCACCGTGGAATAGGTGAAAACATGCCACTATGGCCTTTAATGCAACCTGCGGTAAATTACCATTTCGTTTCTTGTCAACCAGCCATATCATCAATACGAGGCTGAACCTTTTTTATTAGCGAAATTTGGATGTTATCATTGCGGTGGACGCTGTAAGCTCCAGATTCCTAGATCTCCCAAGCGAAGAGTTATTAATCTTCACTACCCTTCCTCGATACACAGCAAACAGATGGAGTGGGGTATACAATCGACGCCCGAGGCTGTAGGTTGCTTCCCATTTTTTTTTAAGTCCATCCGGCCTCCTACTGAGTCTTGGGCACCCTCTTCACGCAGATTCCAATGGGACGTCACTCTACATGTCTTACAAGAAGACCCTGCTGCCCGATTATAAAGGATACAAATTCCCGAAGTAATACCCTTTGCTTCATTCATCACACGGAAGACATTCAAGAATATCAATTATGACATGCTAACGAATGAGGATTTACCATCTTTACAGGATTCCCGATTACCGGTCTAAATTCAGTGAACTAGGCTTGCACCAACGTCCATCATTTTTTGGGTGTAACGAAACCGATGCGCCTTTGGTGATATACTTCCCCAATTACTATATGGTAGCTGAAACAGATTTTACCACCGTTCAAGCTTCCTACACCGTGAGTAACTCCCACGTTGGAACGTGTTGATAAAAGTTGAAGGAACAGATTGAGACTGATGCGTACATTCACCCACCCTCCACAATAATCACCTCACTGATTCGCTTCACAGCAAGCTGAGGTTGACGCCGTTTTTGATAATGGCTTTGCGATTGCGACTCAATCGATAGGAAAAATCAAGGACAACACCTTACTTTCTCAAGGAATTGAGGAAAACATTCAACGTGCCGGGAAATATGCGACTCCAGATTGGTCAACTTGTGTTGCATGCACTCTCATTGACCGCCAGCTTCAAAGGGACGGCATTCCCCGGACATCGCAGTGTGAAGCCTGCTTTAGACAACACTGTTATGTCGAATCCTCGTCAAGCTGAACTTGAAGTCAAGCCGCACATTCTGGCCACCTTCCAACTGTACATACATCCTTTCCACAAATATCTGATTTTCAATTCTGGGCAAGCAGCATCTTTTTGGGTTTGACATGATTAGACAGTCTTCATCTAGCTGTCTCAATCAGTCTCTATTAAACACAATTTCTCAAATCTGTAATCCTCCAATGACCTACCAAAACAGAAAAACTGATGGAAAAAATTGATTCCTCACACCATTGTATCATTGTTTCTGCTCTTTCCGTTCTACTGACTCATGCGGGTCAGATTGTCAGAAACCGTCTTGTTCGTTTGATTCACAGTCATTCCTTCTTAGAATATGAATCTATTGTTGAATATCATTTCCTAGCCATGTGTCTTTTACACTAGGGTCCAGCATTGGTAAACCATTGATCTATGCATAGGCAATGCTTCACATGAAGAGGTATACATCTGTGCTCAGAACAAAATGGACAAGAGCTGCTGTCCAGTTATCCAATTCACAGGACAGGCCATCTGAAAATAAACAAATTTCCCTAGAATTGACCCCAAACAATGTCAAAACTTTTAGTTTACTAGAGTAGGAACAAGAATGCACTCCTGATGACACCAAGAAGAGAGGCTTTTTGACAGTTGGTTCCTCAAAAAAGGAGCAAACTATGAAGGGGAACTAGTTGGATTTGCCTATTTAAACTGGTGTTTTAAATTTTGGTTTTCAAAGCAATTATAGGTTTTCCCTAAAAATGGGCATGCAGTATGCCATCTCAAGTTTAGGGCCTGTACCGCATGGTATGAAAATTCAATTTTTCATAATTTTTCAGAATCTAGATTCCTCAAGTTCTGATCATATGATCAAAAGTGACCATCACCAGAGGCCATTGATAAGCTCAAATATGAAGAATTTCAACACCAGGTATCTCCAATTGTTTTGAATTTTTATGTAGGAGACAGAAAAAATGCCCATTTTCCAAAATTCACTCCTATGGTACATGGCATTAGTTTGGAACAAAGAGTGGTTGGAGGAAGACCGGGTGTGCATGATTTTTCAATTTGCCTGCTCTCCCTTTCTTGAATTCAATAGCTTTTGAGATAAGACATGGAGAAAAACAAGGCAAATCTTCTAGTGTCAAGCAAAGAAAAGACTGTTTCCCTGTTTCTATCAAATTTCCTCATTTTTGGATGACCAGATCAGCTGTTACCAGGAAATCATCGTGAATTGAAACCATAAGCAGGATATTCTGAACTTGTAAAAAAAACAGATTGTTATTGCAAGTCCCCAAATGCAGGTCAGGGATATCCCCACTGCAATGGCGAGATCATGAAGGCCATCCTGTTTGGGAAAGCGGCTCTTACACCAACTCACATTGACCGCTACCGGTCATGGAGAGGGCTACACACTCTCAAAGGCCGGTAACTTGACGGCTGGTGCCGGTCATTGAGAGAGGAGCTACACCCTCATCAAGGCCAGTATTGGCCATCAAGAGGAGGGGCTAGTCCCGGTTATCAAGACTGTAGCTCTCTGTACCTCTCCACCAGGAGAGGCACGCTCTTGACAGCGTCAAGCCGACACCGGTGATCAAGAGAGAAGCCACATTCTCTCAATGGCCACCACCGGCCATCGACACAAAAGGCATGTTCTCTCGATAGCCGGCGCCTCTCATCAAGAAAGTGTAGAGAACTGGGTGCGGCCACCCCTCTCTTGATGACCGGTGCTGGCCATCGAGAGAACATGACTTTTCTGTCGATGGCCGGTGGCCACCATCAAAAAAGCGTAGCGGGAGGGGGTGGCACTGGAGCCCTCTTGATCTCCGGGCTGAAAGCAATAACGGCAAAGCCACCACCAGTATGTCGATCCTCAGGCTTGGATGATTGCTTGTGTCTGGTATCGAGTGTTGGTCTGCATTGCTACCGTGATGGATGAGCCAATTTTTTTTATTCTTCTTTTTTTCTATTTTGTATATTATATACCTAGATATGGTCTTGCAAGCGCGTCTGGGCACAAACCCAAGTCCCGCTTGGCCGATAGCCACCGGGGGTTTGATTTGTGCCCAGAGGGCTTGATCATCCGGAATCTGCGGGGGGCGGGACTTGGCACATACCCAAGTCCCGCTGGGCCGATTTCAAGCCCTGGGCCGATTGGTAGCAGGTGCCCCAGCTTGGCACTGGGCCCCGACTCAGCAGCTGGCCTTCTCGGGGGCCGGCATATTGGCGGGCGTGGCACCCTCGCTTGATTTCGGTCAAGCGAGGCTTTGCTCCGACCCCCGCCAGCTTTGACATGTGCCAAGCGGGGGTTGGGAGGGTGCCACGCGGGCTTTACAGTCGGCCAAGCGTGCTTTAAGATTGGCCCAGCGCGCTTGGCCTGTTTTCGGCCGAAGTTTGGTGTGTGCCCAGACGGGCTTGCAACACCATACATGTGAATATCCTGCTTATCGTTTCATTCTCGCGGAAATCATCTGCAAAGACTTGGATGTGTACTATTTTGTTTTTCCATGACATCGGTCGTCATGCTAGCTCAATATGATTAATCAACAACCAATCATCCATCCTGCTGTTAATCACGGAGGTTGGCAGGGTGAGTCATGAAGACCGGGACGAAGAGGCTACATAATGTGACCAATGCGGGCAGCCGAGACTGGTTACCTCGGTCGGACCGACCAGCCGACCACCCAGAGGCGAGAACTCCGAGAGTGGCACTAGGGAGGAGCACGTCTATTACGTAATCGCATCGCATCTATCCGCATGATGTTGTGTAAACCCATACCCTCATCATCCACCCTCAAAACTGGATGGTCAACAGCCACCCTCATCCACCACCCTTAACAATTTACAGTCAACACAGTCAACCAGAAAAAAAGAGGGAAAAAGAAAAAAAGAAAGAAAGAACCAACGAACGAACCAACTCCACTGAACTGAACGACAGAAGATAAACCAGGATGGGAAAATCACAAAGCAAACTGTCCCCCGATCAACTCACCGAGCTTCAGAAATCAACCTATTGTCAGTCATCTTAGCTTCCTTCCACTTATCGTTGACAGGCTGGAAGACTGAAACATAAATGGCGCACTTCTTCCGCCGTCTCTGGTACCACAACAAACACTTTTCCCTCATATCAGTCGATAAAAAGGAACTGCAACAGTGGTAAATACTTAATTTCCTTATGGTTTATTTGTCTTGACGTTCGCCGAACTGTTCGAAGGAAAATTGAAAAGGAACTGAGTTGGCTAACGATTTCCCTCTCTCTTCAACAATCTATATAGGTACAAGGGTTTTCTCAAAGACTGCCCAAGTGGAGTACTAGATAAACAAGAATTCGCTAGAATCTATAAGCAGTTTTTCCCCTTTGGTGATCCCGGACAATTTGCTGATTTTGTATTCAATGTGTGAGTAACTTTGATTTTTTTAGTAATTCTGAGAGAAGAAAAAAAAATTCTGCCTACCCTCTGCAGCTTGCAATATTTTGTCAAATGGCTGATTTCATCATGAGTTGGTTTATTTTCTGCGAACTGCATGCTTACCACACTACTTCAGGTTTGATGAAAACAAGAACGGAACGATCGATTTCAAGGAATTCATTTGTGCTCTATCTGTAACTTCTCGGGGGCAGTTGGACGAAAAGTTAAAATGCGAGTCTCAGGTCCAAAAATCAAACTAAAGTAAAATTGACAAAGAGAGAAAGGAAATGTTGAACTGATGAAGATTGTTTGTCGTTATTTCCTACAGGGGCTTTTCAACTGTATGATATTGATGGGGATGGTTTTATCACTTACGAAGAAATGTTACAGATCGTGAGATCAATTTACAAAGTCAGCATTCATCACACCTTTTCCACAAGACATCCGACAATCTACATTAAGAGAACATCAAATCACGAATTAATCAATTTTCCATATTGTATCTTCTTCCAGATGACCGGACAGATGGTCAAACTACCACCTGATGAAGACACTCCCGAAAAGAGAGTAGATAAGATCTTTCGGATGATGGACCACAACAAAGACCATAAGTTGACGTGCGTTATGATATCAATTTCCCACTCCTCATTTTCTCTTACTTTTTCAAATGTGAATTTCTACCAAGTTCTGTGTCCTGAAGTGATATATCTGGATTATTTGCACAATAGATTTGATGAATTCAAGGAAGGCAGCAAACAGGATCCGACCATCGTTCAGGCCTTGTCGCTGTATGATGGCTGTAAGTCTTTCACCATTTCAATGATTGAGCATTATTATCTTCCTCTTTTCGTCTTGAAACTAACTTTCCACCGTTTTCTCCGTTTGCAGTGGTATAGTAACCCATTCGGTTTCCAGCTTCTTGAATGGTTTTCTGTCAGCTTATTATCTTCCCTACGATATCTACTCCCACGATTTGTTACAACAGATAAAAACAAAAGAAAGATAAAAGCCAAAAAAAAATGAAAAAGAAAAGAGATAAAAAGACCCGAAACAGAAAAAAAAACCATACAGAGGATCGCCCTGTCTTAGGGCTATGACAAATATCTGGGAAGTATGTACTACGTCGTACTGTGAATGTACAGGCAAAGATTGAAACAGATAAATACACGGACCAGATAATAATTCTCCGAATCGATCAATTAACTTTTCCCTTTGGGTACTGCTTTGATAATGTCGTACATTTTCTTTTCTAGTTTTCCTGTCCTCTTTCACACTTTTATCCAAGCTGTTTGTCGTAAAATTTGATCCCCCTCGATGCCTCCTTTTTTGTTTCTTTGTCACATATTTACCTGGGCCTTCTTTCACCTTCTTTGCCCGGCGAGCTCCTTCTTCTCTTTCCGATCCTTATATGTTTACCATTCTTCTTCTCTTTTATCTCTTTGTTCAACTGCAAATAAATGTAATACTTCAATAACAAAACTCAAATTTGTGAGAGCTAGAACAGAATTTGATGGGGATGGATGAAAAGATACTAGTCAAACACTGTTGAAAACCTTTGTGTCATTACGCTGCAACCATGTACAGTGAAGTGGCTCTGACTAAACAGCAACTGCGAATAGCAGAAGTGAGATGTAACTGTTGAGTTGGGAGCTCAGATTTGCCTTGAGATTATACACTTGGCTTTAACTTTTTGTTTCCAGATTCGCCCACCGAGTTGCAACCTTTACAATGAAATTTCACACCTGCGGCGGTTATGTTATAGCGGGTCGTAAAATGACCCCATGTGAGCCTCTATCCACCCCCGCTAGCCCACACCGCGGGCTGTTTCCAGGATTGGCCAGGACTTATTCATGCTTGAATTAGCATCATCGCAGATCATCACTTGCTACTTCATTTCTCTTTTTGCAGTTTTCTTTTTCTCAATGAGTGCGATGAGGTGCGATCTGTAACAGGGGGTAACCCAGGTCTCCCCCGCTCCCCAAGGCCATCCACAAGAGAGACAGACGGATCACGGTCGCGACTCTCACTCGAACTCTTCCGGCCGCAAGATTCAGAGGGATTGGCCCCACTGACACTGCTGCTGCTGCTGTAACGGGGCCCTTACAGAGTTCTATGGGTTAGGCTTCCAAGGTAAGTGTTTGTACACTTTAAGAATTTGTTTTATAAAATATGTGTATCGTATTCGATGATCCTCCAAACCTCATGAGTGAGGGAGCTGCTTATATGTCTACGTACATGAGGTCCGTGCGTACATAGAATAGCAGCGACCATGAGAATACACTGAGAAACAATAATGACATCATAGAAATCCCTTTTGGGATGCAATACTATGGACTTAAGATTAATACATAATTTAATACAATCAGGAATAGAGTCGAGAAGTCGATTGTAGTCGTAAAGCCTAGTATCTCCGAATTACATGCTAGCGCACGGCTACAACTACCCCCCTCCCTACAAACGGACCGGCCTCGGGACGATGAAAAACCGGAACGATCAACTCGTCGGAACCGGAGCCGGAACCGGCAGGTTTGCCACAACCTTCGCTGCCTTGGACAAGTCACGCGAAACCTTTACTTCTCGGCGATTGTCGTCCAACTGAATTGCCGGAGGTACAGACCACATCTCGTTAGTGATAACCGAACGAAGGGAGACCGGCCGAAGATGATTTCCATTGACCGGCCGTGAGTATTCCTCTCCGTTATGGTCCATCAAGATATAAACATTATTCTCTTTAACCGCAATGATTTCAAAAGGCCCGAACCAACGAGGTTGTCCTTTTGTGTGGGATTCGTTGCGAAGTTTTACCGAATCACCCAGGCGATAAGAAATACAAGACGAAGGATTCAAATTGTCATCGAACCGTTTCTTGTTGGCCGACGCTTTCTTATCCACACCTTCCAAAGCCTTCATTCGTTTCGCATTCAGACCATCAATTCTATTTTGCAATTGCTGTTCAGAAGCCGATACTTCTCGTTTAGCAACCAATCTAATGTTGTCCGAAGGAAGCCGGGGCCGTACACCGTACAACAATTCGAAGGGGGAGAATTTGCTGTTATCATTAATGTGGATCCTAGTCGAATATAACGCCGCCGGAAAGTAATCCTCCCAACGCGCCGGATCCCCACTGACATTCATCCTGAACAACGCCGCCTCCAAAATGCCGTTATACCGCTCGTTCTTCCCATTCGTTCTCGGGTGATAACCAGAAGTATTCAACTTTTTAATATTACCCGCCGACAAAAATTTTAGCAAACCATTAGACAAAAAGTTCGACCCGCGATCAGTCAAAAATTCACGCGGCAAACCAAAAGGAGTGATAACATCACGAAGAATCACTTCCGCAATATTGGTCGATGTGGCTTCTTTCATAGGAACCGCAATTGGCCAATTAGTACAATGATCAATCAGAGTAAGGATCCATTTCCAACCATTTCTCTTTGATTCCGTCATCGAAATGAAATCAGCAGACCAACGCTCAAAGGGACCAACCAATGGTAAAGGAACTTGCTGCCAAGTCTCTTGTTTATCATGAGGACGCTCATGGACCTGACATTGTGCACAAGTCTTCACATAATCACATACATCTTGATAACGTGTCGACCACCAACCCCGCCCACGCAGCAAATTCAGCGTCGCATCTCGACCCCGATGGCCAGCCTCGTCGTGAACTTGCCGCAGAAGGCGCCACCTATAAGGAGATTCAACAAAGGGCGAATATTCCTCATGGCCTGGACGACCACGCCATACCAAAGTCTCCTCTTCCTCGTCGACATCAAAGAACTCGGCTAAATCAACAGCCTTTCTCAACAAGTCGGGCGCGACAGACAGAGGAACACGTCTTCCTAATTTTAGATAGGGAACAATCAAAGGCCAATCCGAAGGCCGTAACTCATCATTTACAAACTTGATCACCAAAAGATCACTACGACGCGACAACGCATCTGGAACGATATTCTCGGAGCCTTTCTTATAACGGATTTCGATATCCATCTCCGCAAACTCCTCTACCCAACGCGCCAACCTTTTCGAAGGCAATCTCTGCGTCGAGAAATACTGTAAAGAAGCATGATCGGTGTAACATACAGTCGTCGATATGGCACCATCAAGATACACACTCCACTTTCGGTAAGCATGTATTATGGCAAATAACTCCCGCTCTTGTGCAGGATAGTTACACTGAGAACTATTCAATTTCTTTGACTCATAAGCAAACGGGTGCAAGCGAAGATCAGCATCCTCTTGCAACAATACGGCACCCACAGCAAAATCGGAGGCATCGGTCTCCATGACAAACGCCTTTAGAACATCAGGCATTAGCAACACCGGAGCCGATACCAATGCCGTTTTCAAAGCTAAGAAAGCCAATTCGTGCACAGGCAACCACAACACCTTTTGCTTCTTTGTTACATTACCACCAGTCAACTCATGCAAAGGACAAGCAATTTTCGCAAAGTTCGATATATATCGACGATAGTAACCACACAACCCAAGAAAGGATCGGACATCGTAAACATTCATCGGACGCGGCCACTCATTTATCGCATCAAGCTTATCCTTCATAGGACGAACATGATTATGCGAAACCATATGGCCCACGTACTGAATTTCGGTTTGTCCAAAAGAACATTTCTTTCCACTACATTTCAACTCCTCAACCAACAAAACATTCAACACTTTCTCAACGTGCGACAAGTGCTCGGATTCATCCTTCGAATAAATCAATATATCATCAAGGTAAACCTGAACGAAATCGTCGATAAACTCTTTCAGGATATGAGTCATCATCCGTTGAAAAGTGCTAGGCGCATTCACCAAGCCAAATGGCATCACCAACCACTCAAAATGGCCATATTTCGAACCAAAAGCCGTTTTAGGCACATCACTCGGCGAAATTCTCATCTGATGAAACCCTTGCTGTAAGTCAATTTTCGTGAAAAATTTGGCACCAACCAAAGCATCAAAACACTCCTGAATTAAAGGCAAAGGATGCCTGTCCTTTTTAGTAACCGAATTAAGGGCACGATAATCAACACAGAAACGCAAACTCCCGCTAGAATTCTTCGCAAATAGGATTGGAGAAGACCAGGAAGAAACCGAAGGTCGTATAAAACCATTCCGTTCAAGTTTACCCAACCGATCCTTCAACTCTCCCAGCAAAGCAGGCGACATTTGCCGCACTGGTTGACTCACAGGGTTCGCATCACCCGTCTCAACCAAATGTTCTACGACGCGCTTTCTTTCAGAAGCGCATTCAATAGGATCAAACAACGTACTGTATTTGCGACATAAGTCACGTAAACTATTACCAAACACCCCATCAGGAGGGAAAACACTAGGAAAAGACAAAACCGTTTCCTCACGTGGTCCCAACGGGTCCACAGGTACAGGCAAGCAGACGAACAACTCGTCCTTACGGCTCTTTATCACCGATTTAAATTGATGCCGAGAGCACTGACCAACCACGACACCTTCTAACACATGAAGTGTGTGTGGACGCAAATCCTGCACAACAGGCACTCCTGGCTTAAAAACAACAGCGAGTCCTGACGGGATCCGCAGATACCACTCATTTTTCTCCCAATCAGTACGTTCAACATTACGACTAATCCAATCACGTCCCAGAATAAGATCATAGGACGATAAAGGAACAGCCCTACACACAACATCAAATCGATGGCCCACCAATTCAATCTCAACTAAACACGAATCGGATCGGCGAACCTCCTGACCAAACGCCCCCAAAACTCCAAAACTCTCACAAGGGACTCGCGACAACCCCATATCATCTGCAAAAGCCTCGGAGACATACGAACAACTAGCACCGGTGTCTATTAAAAAACGGGCAGAACGGCCATTCAATTCAAGGAAGAAATCCACAACCAGGGAATCATCCTCAACACTCATTGTTAATAAAGACTCAGGCTTGCAACTCCCAAGCCCATCTAAAAGCGAATCAGAAACTCCATTCTGACTCACACTTAAACGATTAACTCTCAGATCACCCGGGGACTCCTCACTAGACGGAGGAATATTCCCGGGGCGATCAAGCCCGGAGACACTCTCAAACATTGCTCACTAGATGCAGTAACGACAGATAATTTATTTCTACTATCAGACGAAGAAACGACAGTATTACTAGCATCAACACAAGTCGACGGACGAGACAATGTCACGTCGACTACACATTTAAAGACTTCCCAGCAGCAGACGCCTCATATTGACGCTGGCGCTCGGATTTTGGATGGGGACACTTTGCACTAATGTGACCCGGCTTCCCACAGTTGTAACAGTTTCGAACGGCTCCGTCCGACCTCTTCTTTCCAGACGAACCCTCCCCGGAATCGGCCTCTTTCTTCGAACCGGATGGGCCAGGAAAACCACTTCGCGAACCAGAGAAACGCTTAGAAGCCTCCGCCGCCGCCATCTTAGCCCGGCGATCAGTATCCATGGTGAAAGTAGCGATCCGAGGGAAGTCCATCGGAGTCTGGCGATTAGCCTCCGCCGCCACATGGTCTTCAATCCTCAAACGTAAGTCCGGAACCAATCGCTCCACAAAACCCGTACAAGGATCGTGCGAATAGTGATAAATGTTCGCTTTGACTTGCCAATCGCGAAACCGATTGTAAAAGTTCTGAGCCGTTTCATTAGGCCTCATGCGAAGGGCCGCGTATTCAGCGGCGACAGCAGCCTTATTGGACATCTCAGGGTTGAGGTCAATCAACCAGTCCGCAAAAGAATTCCAACTACGAGGGTCACGGCCAGCACGCATAACATCATTGTAGTCCTCGCGAGCTTTCCCAACGAGGCAACGGATACCGACCTGATGCCAGATACCCGGGTGGACAAAACGAACCGCCAATTCAATTGACAATTTGTTCAACCAATTACGGACTTCCTTGCTGTCAGTGCCGCTAAAATTTGGAACAATTTCACGATTCCAGCCCTTCATCGCCTTCGTGACATCAGTCAAATAAACCTGAGCCGGCAATGGACCATAATCCGCGACATTCGGACGAGCAAAGTCCGCAGGAGGAGCCACAGAGGCATTTCTATCCCCAGTAGGGGGACCAACATCCCCGCCCGCCGCAAACACCGACACGCGAGGATAAGTGTGCCCACGATAGGTAGCATCACGACGGGGATGCTTGACAGTGTCGTTACTGTCCACATCCATTCCATCAGAATGGACGACAGCCGGCTCCTCGGACAAAGACACCGGTCGACCAGCGGCAGCAGAGGACGAAACCGCGATCTTGGAGTCCTCTGGAGGGTAATTCTCGACAAAATGGCCCTCCTCCTGAGGAACGTCCTCATACTCCTCCTGGCCGGAATCATCGTCTTCGGCTCCGCTCCAAAAATCCGGATTTTCCTCGACCCAAGCCACTTGCTGAGGGGAGAGAGACTCGATCTCCTCGGCTGAGTAAGACGAGCCATTCATCGGACGCGGGGCTCCAGCGATGACCCGAGATTTTCGTCGGACAGTAACATTCATGGTAGACTTAGGTGGCATGCTACCCAAATGACCGAAAAAACACAAAACAACAAAACAATCACAATAAAAGCATCAATCAAACGAATTAGCCTAACCCGCCCCAGAAGTCAACTGATATCAAATCAGACACTCGGATCTATAGAAAAAAATCGACGGCAAAGCCCAACGTACATCAATATCCGAATCAGAAGGTAGAACAGAAAGTCACGCAAGACGACAGATGACCGCGCAAAAAATCTACGATCCCAAAAAAAGAAAAAAAAGGAATCAAGCAAGGGTCAGTCAACCTGCTTTAATCGAAGTCACAAAGACACGAAGGGCAATGTCGCAAAAAAAATTCCACTTTTTAGCTCTCGCTACCACTGTAACGGGGCCCTTACAGAGTTCTATGGGTTAGGCTTCCAAGGTAAGTGTTTGTACACTTTAAGAATTTGTTTTATAAAATATGTGTATCGTATTCGATGATCCTCCAAACCTCATGAGTGAGGGAGCTGCTTATATGTCTACGTACATGAGGTCCGTGCGTACATAGAATAGCAGCGACCATGAGAATACACTGAGAAACAATAATGACATCATAGAAATCCCTTTTGGGATGCAATACTATGGACTTAAGATTAATACATAATTTAATACAATCAGGAATAGAGTCGAGAAGTCGATTGTAGTCGTAAAGCCTAGTATCTCCGAATTACATGCTAGCGCACGGCTACACTGCCGACCTGCCGACCTGCCGACTCTGCCCATGAGTTGTTGACGTGCGGGGTATATTCCCTGCGGCTATAAAGTCAACACCCTTTTCGCGTCTGTTTCTGACCCAAACTCCAAACCCCAATACCTTTGACAACAACAGACACCACATCCTATTCAGCCATTACGATGTACTCCGTATCTTTCATCACTCTTGCCATCCTGGCCTTGCTTGGTCAGCTCATTCTAGCTAACCCAGACTCTACTCCCCGCGAAACCATGCAATGCTCTAACTACAACGGTGCCAATACGAAATCGGCAAGTAAGTCATAGTAAACAATTCAACAAGCTCTATAAGGATAGCATCCCTCACGGAACCAGCCGACTGCATAACTGAGTTATTTTTCCTTTTCTGTTTGGCACTTCAGCTTGTGACGACTTACCAGATGTCACCTGTATCGGAGGGTGTAGCGGCACTCCTGCTGGTGAGTCTGCAATGGAATCCAACAACTAAATCACATCAGCAGCTACGCTGGGTTTAGCTCATCGTTTTTCTTTTCTCTTTTCATATCGGGTATTCTCATCATCTGCAGTCGCTGAAGGATGTGAAGTATCCGACGGTTCAGACCCAGAGCACAAAGTTCCGCCCAGCAAACAAACATGCGATGTTGGGTTCGGTCGGGATACGCTTGCCAGTAAATGTAAGTACACATAAAATATTGATGCTCTAGAAGAGTCTCAGTTAAAATGTTAAGATCCTCCCTCTGATTAATTTTTACTGTTGCCTTGACGAATCACCAAATCATTATGCAATCAAAGCATGCCGGACCAAGGAGAAAACATACTCCTGCAGTGGCAAAATCACGCCCGCACAAATGTGTATGTAAACTCTCTTTGTTGTTGATTCGGATGGACGTTTCCTCAGTTTCATCATGTTGAGCCATGAGACAAATGCTCGCTCAGAACTAGAATAATGTGTAACTGATGGTATATTTTGACTTTCCCATCCTATAAAGCTTGTTATGGTTGCAATAAATCTAAATACTTGTGATTAGTTCTCGGATCTGGAGGTTGAAAAATTGTGATTCTTGATTAGGATCACCAACCGATGTAGCCTCCACGTCGCTCCGCTCTCTTCTCCATCTTGGGTCATCTACACTAGCTTTGATAGTCTCTTTTGTCCTGTAATTTCCCTTTTATTGGACTCGATGCTGTTGATCGTACATTGTTGCAGTTACAATCACGGGGAAAATCCCTTGAGGCTGTCAATCAATCTAGCATTTTATATTGTCTCGGACCCAACAAAGTCCCTCTGACTCCGGACATTTCATCAAATCCTCTCCAGATCACACGCACCCAAACCACCAATTTTCTTCATCATTTGGAAAGCAATTCCACACAAAATAGAAAATGAATGTTGTTGGGGAAAGATAACACATAGAAAAACCGACAGAGCATCAAAATTGGAAAGAAGATGTAGGATAGAAAAGATAGCCTTCAGTAAAAAAATTTTGAATATGGGAGTCAAGCACGTCTCTACCGCAGACACTCTTGTTGATGCGAGAATCGAAACATCCAACATGATAGACGGTTTGTGGAGGGATTGA